AGCTAGAGAGTCAGTGTCGAGCACCTACGAACAATGATCGCGAACAACAGTAATTAAGAAGCACCGGATAAATGCCCAACCCAGATCCCCCGATCTCGAGCATCTGTCCAATAGGCCTCTACTCCACCGACTAACTCTACCAGGCTATTCTCCATCTTCATCTCCATCCTCCCATCCATCTTTCACATCTTGGAAAACGAGTGATCCTGTCTGGCGGGTTTGGTTACTCATCACCACCACCACCTCATGCATCACAAGAAATCACTCGGGTGGCTTTTTCAAAGATTTACCCGCACCGTCACTGCAGCCCTATGCTAAAATAGCCACCATAACCCCCCCCCCCCCTCTCTACCCCAGTACGCGGGCTCAGGCGCAGGAACGTCGACGCTCCACGATCTCCCAACGTTGCTGGATCGTACATTGCTGGCAGCGGCCGGACGCTGGGAATCAAACGTCCCGCTGCGCTGTTTATCGTGGTGAAAATCCCTCTCCTCCATATCTCCTCACCTCCTCACCACTACCACCACCTCCTCTTCTTCCTCCGCGCCGGCTCCTCACAGTCTCTCCGCACTGTCAAATACCCGTCCTCCCGTTCTAACGTCGTCCAGCTATGTAGCTAGCTGTAGAGCAGGCCGGTGTATAATATCCAAAGGCTAATGCCAGGCACCCCGGGAAGAGCAAACAAGAATAACGAATAAAACTAGATCAGATCTGAGATTTCCATGCGCTCCCGGAACGAGAGTGCGTGGCTATCGATCTTAGCTACATACTCTCTACCCCCCCCCCTGGTGTATTCTTCGCTTAACAGTGTGCCCGAGAAGATTTTTCCCATCACTTAGCTGGTGGCGGCGCTGCCAATTGATAGCTCTAGCTCCATGCCGGCAGCTCAGGTAGAGTAGCTACATACACACCTATCTTGGTGTCATAGAGCAGAGCCCTCCCGCATCTTCAACATGAGGATATCCAAAACTCCTCCTTGCCCTCCTCCCTTCTGGCTCCTGGCTCCTGCCCTGGCATGACTGTCGGTTGCAAGTACCTATTATCGCGCGCGCTCGGGACGAGAATCCTGGTTGCGGCGCCTGGAGGTAGTTACCGGGATGAATGTCTGGGGGAGACAGACGGTGACACTGTATTGGGTTTGAGCTTTTACCCCCTCCCCGGACGAGACGGGTGCGGAGTGTATGTCGGTGGTTAAGAAAACGGCAATATATCTACTACAACTGGCGTAGTGGAAGAACGGCCTTGGTCTAGAGTAGAGCTCCCGGCTCTTGGCGTATATAGTTTCTATGTAAAAAAAAAAGCTTCTTCGCAGAGCGTAGGAAATATGCCGGAGGCCCAGGTCTGGTGGAGCCGGGCCGGATGACAGTGTTAATGGTACATATGGTATAAGTTATAGATCGATGGCCAATGCTGATCTACCCGATCGAGTTATGAAACTTGGTTCCATCCTTATGTTCAACCTGAAGCACCATACGGCCACCTAGCTAGCTAGCAACACAGAGAATCCGGCCCGATGTGCTACACAGATAAGCAAACCCGCTCACAGAAGTTCTGAGACAGCTTCTCTGAAAGTGACAGTGCCAGGATATGCAGTGTTCCAGAATGTTCATGACAGCTGCCTCGGCAAAAAATTGGCCGTCTCACCGAGGATCTATAGGCCAAGGTTTCGTTTTTCCAAAGTGCCCTCAACCTAGAAATAAGCTTTGATTATACAGGGGATGTATACTCTCGGTACAATACGGAATGCCGTTCTTAATATCAGGGATCTTTTCACATGACCAATAGCAAGGCGAAGGGCAGTGTTCACAAAGAGTGGACATGAGAGTGAGACGTTGCACAGATGTCAGACTATGTAGAAATCAGCCCGAAGAACCAGCATGTTCCTGTTATTGAAATAGATATACCGACGCCATGAGCCCACGTGTTCCAAAGTCATCACAGGAATTGATGAAATGGCCGGACCAAACTAATAACCTTCTAGCGGAACGATATCGTGAGGTGACGAAAACTAGATTAAACGATAGGAACAGATGTCTATGTAGCTAGGATAGCTACAATACGGCACGAAAAAACAGGACGAACTATCTTCATGACGTGTCCTGTCTCACTCGCATGAGAGCCAGAGAACAGCGTACGCAGACAGAGTGATATATCATGACGCACCCAATCCACACTTCCTGTTAAGCGCATACCAGCGGGGCTCACTCGCTTCCAATAACTCGTTTATAGATATCTTAGCTCTGTGGGAACTGTGGTATTCCTCTCTCCACGGTGTCGCATATATATTCTCGACACTCGCCACAGCGAATCAATGCCGCATGGCGAATGATGAATGCACACATGTAATACAATACCCCTACCGTAAATATGCAGACACAAAAAAAAGGGTCCGTACCCCCTCTCCTCCTCCTTCGAGTAGCAGACACGTATTTTAACAATGTACTCCTGGTTTCGATATTATCGTGTGTCCGTGCAATCCTTGAGATTTTGTGAGGATCACAATTTATCACTCGGGCCTTCTCTCACCGAGTTCGGGCCTGCATATATCCGCTTACTAAAATTGGAGTTTTGAATAGCACTCCACGCTTTGACGTGCATTGAAAAGATAGCAAAGAATCTTTGCGTTCCACGAGACTTCTATCCCCCTGCAGCACTCTTCGCCGATAAGGCCTTGAACTCTAGGAGAGTTAGCTCCACTTAGTGGCAGACGAGCTAAGGCCTTGAATGAGAATTGGTGACGCATTTCAATGACGTGTAGAGTCCATAACCATATCGCGATAGTTCAATGCAGAAAGCATGGAAGTATCAGGCCATAGCAAGCGCCAAAATAAGGCCTAGTTAATTTCTTTCCGTCTGAGTTCATGTGGGGGTCAGTCTACCTACCATCACCATCTCCCAGACCACCCGCCTTCTCATGCGGTCCCAGCCCCAAACTCATACAGCTCTTACTTTAATTTCCATCTAGCGCTAATTCTCGCCCCGGCTCGTGGCGGTTCGGTCTTGTCTTTTTGGAGACTAGGCTCACTCTTATCTGAGTGATAGCATATGATCCAGCGCAGAAATAGTGAAATTTCAAACTGATCCCAGATTCGTTGCCGCCTTCCTTGACTTGAAAGCACGCTATCAGAATTAGTATATACCTACATATATTTTGCGTCCAATCGGGAACCCATGGTTACAGGTCGATCTAAGTATCTACGATTACCAAATATTGACGGGGTTTGAAACAGACTAAAGATAACCTCGATAAGACTCGTCTCATATAAGATTTAGTCTCATGGTTGGGATCCACTGTCTCGAGTCAAAGTCATGAGCCGGCTCGTCTCAAGGGGAACACTAGTACTGAATTCCATACGAGTGGTTGAGATTCTCAGTGAAGTAGCTATAAGGAATTTGATCAAGCCTAGCCAGACATTCAAGATGCGATAGGCAGTAAGGTCGGATCAGGACAGGTCTCGGTTAATGTAAGAGCTCGATCGATCGAGCCACAGTTATGGATGGCATCTCAATACAATACCACCCGGTAAGAGAGGAGAATTCGAGTGAGGAATATCATTTCCCATAGTACCAGTGACTAAGAGATACTTAGGTAAAGCGCAGATGGCTGGAACTAGTACAGTGGAGCTCCAAAGGTTTCAATCATAGCCCATCACTCGATGAATCTTGCCGGTGGTGACACATTTCTGGATATTTGTACTGTCGGCCGCAGCTAGCCCCATGTTTGGTGACACATCTAGAAACAAAGGGTTAACATCACATGAATTAAAGCGGTCAAAAGATTTGATCACCTAGCTAGTAAGAATGTAATTAAAGCCTTTGGTTTGTTCCTGTGCTAGTTACCTCAAGATAGTGTTGCTCTCTACAATATGGCAAAAAGAGAAAGACATATACTAGTTACTTCCCTGAAAAGCTAGAGACTTTGGTGATCTCGAATAGATCTTTTGGAAAAAGAGTGGAAGGTCTTGGTCCCCGGGAATAGCGGAGGTCCCAGCATCGATTCATAGGTTTGACAGTCTATAGCTCGGCTTGACGAGGAGTAAGAAAGTGCGTAACCTTCTGGTGTCATCGATGTTAATGGTGATGCACTGGTTTCGATGGTTGGAGGTGACTTGGTGGGGATTTTGAATAGTACTCGGTGTTATGAAGGTATCTGAATTGATGATGCTTGAATTCGAAGGGTGGGTCAGGTACGTCTCTATTGAATATAAACGGGGTACAAGAGCCCTTGAATTCTTCAAGGATAGTACGTAGTGAAAAGTACTGAGACGTAATCTAGCTTCGACATTTATGGCACCGTGGCCTTTTCCTCACCCAAACAGAATTTTTGAAGTGTTTCTCACCGATAAATCCCTTTACCTGCATCCTCTTAACTCACCACACATTATATATCCGAACAATACCCTACCTTCTGTCAACTGCCAATAGTACTGTACAGTCCAGAGCTACAATATACCAAATGTAGTAGCTACATACTATCAGATGTCAGGATAAAGCTCGGTCACTCCAAGGTCTGGATAAACCAAGGAGAGTCTCTGCGTATGGTGAATGCTACTGCATCATGACATTCAAAAGTTCTTTTAAATACCTCCTTTGTTGGAGCCTAATTACATAGGACTATCTATATACCAAGCGTACGTCCCTCGCTTTATTTATTGGTCTACTCTAGTAGATGGATAACAAATCTTTTTACTGTAGAGAGTTATTGAATGACACCCACAAGAGAGGACTAAAGAGGAAAGAAAGAACCTAATCAAACATTCTTCAAAGTTATCTATCGCTCGATATCTTTCTTACCATCTGCTCTTCTATGCAGGTAGCCAATCTTCTGATTTCTAGGGACATTGAATGCTGATCAAAAAGAGATAATAGTGAAAGTACAAATAGGTAAACTGAACAGAAGAGACAAAAGAAAAAGCACAAGTCATCCTAAAGCTTCATGGATGTGCCTATCAAGCGCCTATTTGATATTATCTACAAGAATTTATTATCTCCACAGCTGATCACTCGGTCGTCAGAAGCTCCACCAACGACCTCGTAACCTTTCCAGCATCGCCATCAATAGCCACCGCCCTCTCTCCATCCTCCAGATCCCACTCCACCGCCTCGCTCCCGCCCAATCCCACTCTCACCAGCTTGACCCGTCCCTCACCGACTGTCACCAGCCTCTCATCCTCCCACCTGATAACACCAGGCGTATTGAACCCCGCGCCCAACTCCAGCACCACCAACCCTTCCTTCAACGCGCGCCTCTTAAACTCCACATACCGCCTATTCGACTCCACGAATGGCACCTCCGTGAAGAAGCTCCCTCCACGCACACACAGGAACATCTCTCCTGCACAGTGCTTACACCTCGGGATGGCCTCCTCCCACCCGTCGATATCCTGTCTTATCGCATTCGCCACAGTATCCAGATACGGCATCGCCTTGTCAATAAACTCCTGCACCGGCCAGTACGCATCGGGCCGACACTTGCGCATGCACTGCAGAAGCTCATACGTCCCCTGCGGCGTCGCAATCCTGTCCGCGCTGAAGCCATTGCGAAAGAACAATCCATCGGCGTTCGACGTGCGTATAAACAGGTTTGCGCTCTTCTCGCCGCCCTCGCCATAGAGGGCTGTAATGAGCTTGCGCAAATGCGTGTACACGCTGTTGTCGACGCCGCAGGGGGCAGTCCAGCCCCGCACAAAGATGATGCTGCAGAAGTAGTAGCCCCACTTGGCTGCGGGCGACTCCCACTCGTCGTATCCGAAGAAGTCGTACAGACAGGTGAAGCCCTTCTCCCACATGCCCTGGAAGTTCTTGCGGAAGAGGTCGTGCGAGGTGAAGTCGAGGCCGTCGGAGGCGGAGAGGCCGGCGCCAGCGGTGATGAGGAGATTGGGTGCGGACTTGAGCCATTTTGCGGCGAGCTCTAGGGAGGGGGACGTAGTGGCGGGGGGTGTGAGGAGCGCCGGTGTGATTGTAGGCTTGGGGAGGAGGCTGTTGAGCTTGTCGATATACAGACTCAGGTCAGTGGCCGTAAAGACGTTGAACACGACACGGTCAATGCTGGTGGCCGGGTTCTTGTCGAGATACGCCAGCACTGTGTCGACAGCGACGTTCACTGCTTCCTCTGGAGGATATCCAAACAGGCCCGTACTTATACAGCAGAATGCCACGGACTTGCTCTCCCCCTCCCCGATCTGGAGGTCCTCCATGGCTTCCAGACAGCTCCAATAGCTCCCTTCCAGGTCCCTCTTCTCCTCCTCCGACACCCTCGGCACGCCCGCCGGCCTCTTTGGCACCTGCGGCCCCGCCGTATGCAGCACATACCTCGCCGGCAGCAGATACCCCCTCGTCACCTTGACCTTCCCATTCGGCTCCAGCTGTCCCTGCAATCCCATGATCTTCGCACAATCATCCCTCAGCCGCGGGCCCGCCGCATAATGGATGACATTATCGATACACATATGGCCAGGCGTGAAGCATCCCAGCATCCTCTCATTCGCCGCATTCACGATCGCCGTGACGCCGCTCAGGGCCGTGATGTCGCCGCGCCACAGCGCAATCTTCGGCCGCGCAGGCAGCACCACGGGAAGTGCGGCGACGGCCGTCAGCGCCTTCTTGCGGTTGATGTATTGCAGGGTGCGCTCGACGTCTACGAGCACATTGGCGGGCAGCGGCGGGTGCGGCTCGCGCACAGTGAGCAGCTGGCGCAGGAGGCTTGTCTTCTGGCTTAGGTCGATCTGCTTGATGTCGAGGGCTGCGGCGCGCTGGCCGTTGCGCCGGCGGTAGTCGCTCCAGAGGTGGGAGAGCGCCGAGTCGAGGGCTGCGGTGGCGGCGGTGCCGGTGGGGATGGGTGGTGGGGTGAAGGGGGTGGTGAGGGAGATGACGGAGCTATATTTTGAGAGGGGGAGGAGGCCCGGCATGGTGGGTGATGATCGTTTTGCGGGTTTGGGTGTGTGGTGGGGCTGCCTGCTGCTGCTGCGCTGCGGATCTTAGCTGTGTAGGGTAGGGGTATTGTAGGTGCGGTGCTACTATTGTACTTTTCTAGTAACTCTATAATTACTTATCGTGGTGCTCTGCTCTCTGAGATAGACCGTACTCTACTGCTCTCACCTAACTTTATAAAGTAGAAGTCCCTTTCTTATAAGACCCCACGTACCATACCGTACCCAGAGTAGAGGTTTGTATGCAGCCCGGCCCGGCCCTTATTGAAATCTCTATTTCAAAGCGTAGGTTTGGGATTATGATATCGCTTATTAATTGGATTGGTCGACACCGTCAGCATACATAGGCAGCTATCTGAGACCTTCTGAATATAAACGAAACAGGGCTTAGGGCTTGAAGCCTTTCTATGGAATACCCCTCCCCCTACCTTTTGAATAAACCGATTTATCGGGATCTAGGATATTGGATATTAGTCGGGCAAGGTTTAAGAGTTATATTGTAGATTTACTACATGTATGTACAGCGCCATGCCATAAGTCATGGGAAGGCGCGAGGTCGCAACGCCTGAACACAAAATCTTTCACCACCACCGATGGCGCCCAGAGACCATGTATCCCGCCAGACAGCTAGGAGGGAATGACCAGCCTCCCTGCTGTGGCAAAAAAACCGGAGTCTTACAACTCTGGTTGGAGGAGAATAGGGTAGATGTTCTGGAGGACTGGCTTGCCTATTCCATCCCATTGAACATGTTTGGGTGCACCTCAAGAAGCTTTACCATCAACAGTACCCCCATTTGGCATATGGTACTAGATCACCTTAAGTATTAAAGCCCCTCGTGGAGGAAGGTCTAATTCATTGCTGGGAACTGTTACCTGATGATTTATTTGGTAGCTAGTTGAGAGCATGCCTAGGAGAATAGTGCTGTTATAAAGGCAAGGGGTTGGTACACAAGATATTAAATGTCAAATTATTTTTATTTAGCTACTATTTAACAACTATACAAAAAACCAGCTCTCCAAAGAATCAATTGTGGTTGCTGGGTGGGTAGTCGTGGTGGCCCGGGAGGTTGCTACGCCGCGCCTTCCCATGGTTTATGGCCTAGAACTATACATGGATACTTTAGGTTGCAGTTCCTACCCTACTGTTAACACTGACCGTACGGATTAACCGCGATACAACTTCACAGAGAAGCATAATTATAAGGCCCCTCACAATATACGCCCTTATTACCTGCATGTAGCAACGGGTTTGTGTAGAAGCCCAAACAGCTGGGTTATGGGGTGGGGGAGTTTTGGCAAACCATTCCGAAAAGGCAGATAGTAACTCATTTTAGATATTTGAACTGGTGCTGTGGCATATTCTTCAATGGATGGTCAACCCCAAAGAAGTTTGAGATAACAAGCAACCTATCCTGACAGACATGTATTCATGTATTCAAGTCTAGTCTCTACATACACTACAACCCAGCTACATAAGCTACACGTATCCAGCCAGCTAGTCATAAGCAGAGACTCCTACCATCCCAAACCCGAGTGAGTTCTGATGACCCGAATATTACCACCACACCACAATCACGCGCCTACACAAGTAGCTATCAACATAATCATAATCACCACAAGCACCCCACACATCACGCAAATAACCCCCATGACTCAAATGCCGTAGTTTATGTAGAAATTCACCCTTTAATTCACCCCCGCTCCCTATACCCCCGCCGCCGCCGCCACCACCCGCTAGACTACCAGCGCCCCATATCATCCGTATAACTACAAAGCCATGAATAACCACATGATTTCGGACATAGCTCTGATAACTCACTACACGTCGAAGAGAGGAAGGAGGAAACCCAGAAAGAACAACCACAAAACCCTAGTTATGCATAACGACAAACATTCATGAGTTCTTCCAGCATGAACACATACACAAAGAGAGAGATAAACAAACCAAATGGCTAAAAGAAAGCTGTTTCACCCCAAGACCCGCCCCGCCCCAAGAAAGAAAAAAAGGAAAGAAAGAAAAGAAAAGAAAAGAAAAACCAAGTGTCCGAGAGTTTTATGCACAAGAAGGAGTCGGAAAATATCGACGGCATTGATAATCGACGGTAGATCACAAGATATAGGAAATTCAAGGAAGGAAAACGACAAGAAAAAACAGAAAACAACCCTACAAAAACCGCAACTCCCTCACACTACCCATATCTACTACCGCTACCAAGTCCTATCTACCGCCCCTTTCCTTGTGCACGTTCTCGAACGCCATCCTCATTCCAAAGCTCATCTGCCCCGGATCCATCGCCTCAATTCCCAATCCGCCGCCCTCACTGCCCCTTCTGGCCCTCACCCCCACGCCCGGCCGGTACGAGAAACTGCTCACGTCTGGGTCCAGCCCCGTCCTTCCGTCAACGCCGCCTACCACGCTCTCCAACGCGCCGCCGTAGTCCTCGTCGTCGTCGAGTGCGGCCGCGGCCGCTACCTCAGCAGCATATGCAGTCCGATACGGCGTGCAGTCGTAGGCCGATGGGAACAATGAGCTGCGGCGGTAGCTAGCCACTGAATCGCTCTTTTCCGACGAGCCTTGCTCCTCTGGCGCCGAGAATGAGGTCGGCGTCGCTGCTAGAAGGTCTGCGGAGTCTACCTTGCGCATTGGGGTAGAGTGTACTTGTGCTGCTCCTGATAATGGGGATCGACCGGGCTTTGGCGATGAGCGGGACCCAGCGATTGGAAGTGAGTTCTGGTGGTCGTTCTGGATGACGGGGAGCTTGGGGCTACGTGTTGAGGATGAGGACTTGGCTACGAATGCGGCGGGGCTATGACGGCTTATTGACATTGGCAGGCTTGTTGCGTTCGGGCTACGGCTTAATAGAAGGGTGTCGTCTTCGTCTTCCTCTTCTTCTTCGTCAATGGCAGTCCGTGAGTCTTTGCCTTTCCCTTTGAGAGAGTGGGTATCATCTTCGGGGAGGTCGTATTTTACGATGCTCCTTCTTCTAAACCGTCCACCGGGTGTGGGGACGAATCCGCTTTTAGGCGGCTCAATACCCATGCCGCCGTTCCACCCAAAGGTTGGCAGCGATGAGGCAATTGCCTGTACTTCTTTTTGTTGGCTAAGGAACGGCGATAGAGATAGAGAGGAGCTTAGGGAACCCCTACGAGCCCCTCCCGATCCCGCTCTAGGGAGCCCAAGACGGGGACCAGGCGATTTTCCAAAAGTCAGGATTGGATCTGAAGCGGACGCAGGGACTGAAGGGAATGTTGGTGTAAACGATGGGAGCATAGGGAATTTCGATGCCGTAAGGCGATCGTTCGTTTGTGGTAGCGCAGTATCTAATAGTGCCGAGTAATCTCGCTGTGGCGGGGAGTTATCCACAACTTCTGGTATTGTCTCGTCCAGATCAAAGAGAGCTTCTTCATCGTCATCATCACCGGCCCCATTAACTTCATCATCTTCTGAGTCGAATCCTGGCGCTGTTGGCTTGTTCCCATTCGTCGTATCCAGCCCGCCGGACACATTTTTGATACCCAGTCCACTGAATGCATCTCCACCCTGGACGATAGGTGCACTATTGTCGAGTTTCGTGGGCACAACCAGCTCATCACCTGTAGACCTCTCGCCTACATACTCTGTGACATTCTCCACCTGCTCTACTTTGCCAGCTGTCTCTTCAAATTCTTCCTGGTCTACTTCCTCAACATCTTCTCCCTCATATTCCACGAAGCCATCCTCATCATCAAACGGATAGTCTTCCTCCAAAGTCCAGTGGACCTTCGTAGACGGTGGTGGGCTACTGCGCGAAGGAACCGAGTTCTCGTCCTCGAACAGGAACGTAACCCGCTTCGGCGATTTTTGCTTCAACTTGTTGAGCGTACCCGTTGAACTTCCAGAAGAACTCTTTAGCGACGAAGCGAGGGGGTATGCCGGCGATGTGTTTCCTGTCCTCGACGGCGGACCTGGGATAGTTGCAAGCTTCGGCATGACAGGTTGTGGTAGCGAAGTCGGGCTATCCTGCGGAGGGCTCTGTCGAAAGAAGTTGTTATCAAGCAGTGGGAGGTATCTAGGAGTGAAGAGGCCCGCGGCTTGCAGTTCCTTTTCAAATGGCGGGGAGGTGGTAGCACTGCTGTCAGCGCTGTTTCCGTTCAGACCTGGCTGCTTCCGGTTGTCAGGGAGCTCGAGCTTCAGCGTGTCGTTGAGCTTCGAACCGCCGAGGTCTAGCGGGATCTGACACCCAGTGCCAGTGCCAACAGTTCCAGAAGTGCGTCCGACTTGTTCCTCATCACGGGTGAATCCTTTATCGTTACCAGAGAACGATGCTATAGTTGTTACTGCCGCCGCGGCAGCATGTGTCGTCGCATCCCCGCCATTCGTGCTCTGTAGTTGTTTCTGCTCTGCTCTCAGCCACCTCTCCAGTTGCCTGTACTCCTCCTCCTTTGCCGCCTTGAACGCCTCAATTTCCGCCTCAATTTCCCTTCGCTTCTGGTCGAGTCGTGCTAGGAGCTCGATTTCTGATGCGGGTAGAGAAGGATGATGAGGGGGGGAAGGGTACATTGGTTCTCGGGAATCGCCGGGGGGTGGGATCGGCGGGGCTTCTGCAGGGAAAGGGTTAATACCCAGGAGTTGGCTGACTGATGGAGGCGATGGCATTATGTATTTTCCCTGATTGATAAAGTTGGGGCTGTCGGTTGAGGGATGATCGTTGAGTTGAGGGTTGGCTGCTATCTTGGTACGTAGCACCCAACGTAGGCCCCAGACTTGACTTGACTGGCTATCGGGGTGAAAATGCAGCCAGCCTCGTCTGAGCGTATCGTAGAGTTCTGTAAGTAGAGAGCGCAGGGGGTGTGGGATGCAATTGAGATGAACAAAGTGGCGATGAGGAAGGAGAAGATCACCGGTGGTTTGGTGGGGAATCTGGTGGTATGGGCACGGTTGCGGAGAAACTCTTGTGTGGTGTGGGGGGGTTATTGTAGGAAAGGTTCGTTCGGCGCCAGGCTATTGCGTGCGAGTATTCCAACCCAAAGCCCCGCGAGAGGCAGGAGAGCGAGATTGAAGTGACAATGAGGTGACAGTGGTGAATTGAACGATTGATCAAAAGTATAGTAAGACAAAACAGCCAGAGAGAGGGGCTGAATTGAGTATATTCAGAGAAGATGAACGAAACCGAGAGAGAGACGTGGAAATCGTCTGCGAGATAGATAGATAGATACAAGAGTTGAACGAACGTTCTTCCCGTCTTCTCCGCAATGAAGTCAGAGTGACTAACACACAGGACAGAGCAGGATTGGACCAGCTCTTCTCCCGCCGCTCCTCTCTTCTACCTGTGCTGGTTGCTGTGGATTCCTGTCCTCTTCATGTCTATCTGTCTCTCATCCACTTACTGCAGTTGGTTACTCGAGTCGCATGGGTAAATTGGAATTCAGACGACCAATTCCAGCCAAGTACTGAGGCCCTTTTGTTCGAGTAACACCACTCACTGCCTATCTGTAGACTCGTACTCCTAGAGTAGAGCATGTAAGTGGGTTCTGTGCAATATCATGCATAACTACTTATACTCTAGGTATCAGAATTAGTATCTCCTACAAATATCGGGAGAATTGAACCCTCCCTACCATTCATCCATCAAGGGGAATAAGAAGACAAGAGTCAAGACAGTGCTGAGATGAGGTCATGAATAATCCGGCCCTAGATGTTATTGATCCCCAGAGCAAATGAAACCCTTGAAATGACCGTGCAGCAGAGAACAAGTGCACGCGAGCTTAGTTGGATAGACATTTCGTACCACCACAAGCCCTTACCAGTACACCACCAGCTGAGGAATTGAGCCTCAAGAGTCACCAAATGCTGTCCTACATGCATGTACCCACATATCAACCAACTAACGGTGGTCGTTCCCTGGCTTCTTCCCAGGGCAGAAGGCCGATATGCCTACAAACATCCCCCCACACTCAACAGCACCTACATAGGTATATCAAAACACAATATAGTCCCTACCTACATACACATGACATACAATACATACGGAGAGCGCTCACCGCAGAGATGCTCAGCCTGAAATACTACCTGGTTACATCTCACGATCATACCACTAAGGAGCAGACTGTGTGCTCTACCCTTAACTCCCCGGATAAAAGCACAGAGATGCATAGAAGAAAGGGAGAAAAACCCTCAAAAAAAGAAGCTTCCAAAATATGCGGAGAATTATCTTCCATGCGGCTCCCACGCAGAGAAAAGAAAAAAGTTTGAACCCGGTTGCTGCTCTAGGACCCAATAAGGTGAGACATGTCTCAGTATGTAGGTTTCTGGCTGTGAACAAACGCGTCTACCGAGAAACTGGTTGGTGAGGCTCTTAAGCTTGGTTCCAGGATAGCCGCGCGTGCGGCTGGAGTTCTGACCAAACTGCTGGAGCTCGACTTCTGGATGCAATGCCCTCAGCTTATATATGCTTCACGCAGAGCTGATACCAGAATGTGCACAATGTGCACAGTACAGTCATACTTCCGCAAACTCACATCACCTCGCCAAAACAAAGAGGTGTGGTGGTTACCCCGGATCTTATCTGATCTCCCCACATCTCCCCGAAGTACCGAAAATAGAACCACGTCGATCGGAGCTTATGTTCGCTTTATACCAAGGGTTCACTACTGTGATCTACACTTGGCGTAGTCACTCTGACGTTGGCTGCGCGGAGAGGACACCGATATTAGTATAGGATCAACAGGGTCACTAACAGAGTGAAGAAGGTAGAGGAGCTTTTGGGTTTCAAGCGGTGAGCTTCCTAACGACAGGATCGAAGGAGTGGGGTGTCGGGGCTGGGGGTATCGGGGTGTGCCTTTGAAACTACAGAGTTTTGGCGGTAAGGACGCGTAAGGTGAGTTTCAAAGGTGAACTCCGGACAGTATCCCGAAGGTTTCGCCGCTCCCCGTTGACTACCGGTTGTACTCTAGAGGGATGCGTTTTCCGGACCTGAGGAAGGAAGCCAATGATATTCTCGAGTGACAGTCTATGAGTAACTAAATGCTTGGTAGGTGCTTCCGGAGAGGATGACTTCAAGCCACGGGCCGAATTAACACTTATGGTGTCAGTACTTCAGAGAGGAGATATGTTGTCGATATTGAATTTTTGTCACTACATGTATTTACCAGTTGGGGCAAATGGAATGATCGATCTTGGGGTTCTATCAGTAACCACATATATCCATGGCTCCACGTACAGCTCCCCATCACCCCTTCCAGATAATTAACAGGTAACACCTACATGTAGTGTTCTCATCTTAGCTTTTAGCAAAGCTCTTTTCAAGGAGTACCCGAGTTGCGCTCCATCGTATATCGAATAATCCTACCAAGTGCAGCGGAGCATATCCAGGTCCGAGACGTTATATGATGCGAAAAGTTGAATTGTTGATGTGAAGGATATTTTATAACGAGGCACCGCGTTAACTACATGCAGATGTGGTGAAAATCTAGCCTCGTGCCCATATACTACAAGCAGCTTGACGTTTAGCATAGGACAAACCAACAGGGGATTCTAGTCTTCATGCCACATACGTGCAAGGATTATAATACCAGTACCACCTTTGCCTACCACTCATCAGCTTAAAGTTAGTCTTCGCTGTCTTTTCTTTTGCCCTCTAGCCTTAAAACCCCGCTAATTGTAAGGATCTGCAGTTTATTTCTTTCTGATAGCGATCATCATATGCATAATTGCATGAACCTTTGCACATACCCATTTTCTCCTATTCTCAGACATCATAAAAACAGGTCCACTACGTAGCTCACCCTTTACTGCATGTGCTTCTACCACCCGTTCGCCCGCCTGTCGTAATCGCAGTTGGTATAACTCCTTTAATATACTCTTGTCACTTCATGCAACCTCGTCAATCAGAGCCGCAGTTCATCAATCACTGGGACACGGGCTCAATACACGTACTAAGCTAATCGTAATGGATATGTAATACATGATATACTACATGTAGCTTATGAGTCCTCTCTCCGTGGAGCATATGTATGGTCTCAACACAGTCTTGTACCAACTGTCCCAATCAGGTAGCGAATATGTTTGATGGTTGAAGCGGGGAGGAGTTTGATCGCGAAGTTGAAGGCTATGTATAAGCCGCCCTGGATGTATCTTCTAGGCTCTCGTAGGATATGGTCTCTGCGCAAGATTGAAATCTACAGCGAGTGATAATACATGACGCTACGGATTAGATGCCGAAAGGCTAAAGATTTTTTGGTCTACGAACTCGGTATAGGTATGCTAAAGAAAGATATTTTACTGGCAAATTCATAAAGTAAAAAAACAAACATCTTAGAGCTATTAACACTTTTTTCGCTGCCCTGAATGCACTTCAAGGGCGAGTGATGGAGTATGATTGAGCCTTGGCAATTGACCCAAACGTTTCGGGTTTCCACCCAGGCCCTCTTGTTGGAGCATCGAGCACGTGGTACCAGAGGATTCATGATAAAAATACGCTGAAATTAAAGTGAGCTATGTGGCTGCTCTTATATATCTGGCTATAAATAGCAGTGTGGGGGCAAAAAAAAGACCTGAATTCACTAGTCCCGTGACTTACCTCTCTCTCTCAGTGTTGCATATCCTTCCAACTACAATGCTAAGAGATAGTCTTGATGTGACCTGGCATCTTCCCTAATAACATAGTAATTTCCTTCCAAGTATAGAACTGCAGGTGTGTACACAGCGTAGGACCTCGAAACCAGGGCAACACTTCAACACTTCAAAAAATCCCCAACTCTTCCGTACCAGCAACGCCGATACCCTCTGCAGCTTGTCCGAGATTTCCTTTTACTGTTCCCCGGACACAACACCACAAATTCCCAAACGCACATTTAAACGCACCAAAATCCCCCACAACACCAGCACAAAATGAGTAGCAAAACCCGACCTATCGACGAGTACCGTGCCAGAAAGCAGGCACTAGCAGTCAAGGAAGCCCTTCGGAAGGAACCCCCAGAGAAATCTCCCTGCCCCGTATTCTCCCTTGCCATCTCGGCTGGCCAGGCAGATTCGTGGAGCGCCCCCGAATCTGAACAGACAGTGGTCATGGGAGCAATCGACGACATTTGTCGTGAGATTGGGTGGGAGCTTGCGGGGGGCATGACCGCCCTAGATGCTGTGGAGAGTGTGGTTTACACACTGGAGAACCTGGGCTATTTCAACGCGGGGAAAGGCGCCACCAGAATAGACTCTGAATGCCCTCCGGTTGGTTTTCGAAGATTTGCTTGTTCTTTTACCTTTATTGGAGAAATATTAATGCTTTTTGTATGTTTATAGTGCAGTGCGGCCATAATAGGAGGAGGGCAGAGGGCAAAGGATATTCCTACAAAGCATGGGGTTGCTGTAGGTATCCAGTCGTTTAAGAATCCGATTCGTGTTGCACGAGCATTCTTGGATAAGGATCTTAGGGTTCGATTTGGCGAACAAGCAAATGAACTTGGCTGCAAGTCTGGATGCAGGAGAATGCCGGACAATTACTTTGTGGAGGCTGACGAAAACTGGCTGGATTCGACTACTGTAGAGTTATATCGTGCACCATATCTTCCAACCTTCTTGGAAGGAGTAGGTGTTGTCGCCATGGATAAATATGGGGATTTGGCAGCGGCTGTTTCGAGTGGTGGGCCTGCCGGAGAAGCTGGAGATCCTACAACTATGCCTGAAATTTGTGCGGGATTAATGTGCGATAATAATTGTGCAGTTGTCTGGTAAGTTACTCAGCCTTTATTTTTTGATAACGGAGTAACTTCTTTTGCTAACTGACACAGCGCTGGTACAAACGAGGACCTCATGGAGTACGAGCCAGGAAGAATAGTGTGCATGCTTAAGAGAGACCCAGCCGAAACCATCAAAGGAGCTGTTGACCAAGTCTTCGACTTTATGTTTGAAAAGGATTGCAACCCACATTCAATTATTGCCGTTGATAGGACCGGAGCAATAGAGATCCGCTCGAATGCCCGTGTCCATCTAGTCTCAACTTGTTCTAACCTTGCTGGTAGCTGGACTCGGATTCATGGGAACTCGAACCCAGTCACTCCTCATCACCTCATTAGATGTGACGCTTTTCTGGACGCGGGCTTCACGCGTTACCCAATCTGCGAGGGGCAAGTGGTGGCAACGTTGAAAGACTGTTCGAATCTTTCAGATTTAAACTACGCCCAATTTATGCAAACCATGGTCTCGATTTGGGGTATGTCATTGGCCCTTTCTGCTTCCTTAGGCGCCCCCTTCATTGGACTGGCCTGCAATGGTACCGGGACACTTTCACTCCTGCCATTTGAAGACAAGGGGGAAAGCTGGGCCAGAAAGCACTACGAACGAATGCAACGTGACCCCAACTCACCTTATCTAACCTCCAAGAAGGGCGACGATATATATTCAGCCGGGCTCACCGCTATGGTCCATAAGAAGCTGGGAGCCGCTGAACCCAAAGATTTCAGCTTCAAAGGAGAAATCGATGAAAATAACTACTATACTCAAGTCATCCGTGGCCAGGTCCCGCACCATCGAGTCTGGGAGGACCACGAACATGTTGCGTTCCTTGACCCACATGGCAGCAGTGTTGGAACGACTATTCTAGTCCCACGAAAACAGATCAAAGGTGATGTGTTTTCTATGAAGTCCGCCAATTTCGTCAGCTTGATGAAGGCCACTTACAATGTCATTCAACTCTTGAGAGATGGCCTGGAAGATGACAGGGTGGGTGTCTTTTTCGATGGATATGACGAGTTATTCGCCAGCGTTATTCTCATTCCTACGAGAGACCCCTTCAAAGAGAACTGTGCTCCGAGTCGAGTAGGGGAAGCCCAGTTTTACGATGTTCATCCAGGATATTTATCAACCCAGATTGGGCGGAGAATCCAGGGGTTTTCAGCCTTGACCGATTTAAAAGAAAACTATCTCTATCTAGAAGAGAACAAGAAGTATGAGAAGGATACGAAGAATGGGAAGAATGCAAAGGAGGGAAAGGAGGGAAAGGAGATGAAAGAGACAAAGGTGTCCCTTCTGAAGTCTCAGAGTAGGAAGGTTTCATCGTTGAGACTGGTAAGGAATAGTTTAAATCCCCGATCGATTACTGATACCAGGACTTAATCCGGAGAAGTTGTAACTGACGATGCGATTCGATGTCTAGTCTTGGCCTTTCAAGAAAACCAAGTAGATTTGCTGCTAGGTTTAATTAGCTATAACTTTAAGGATAATGTCACTGGTAAAGAAACTTTGATGCCACCTTAATTGACGAATATCCAAGGTTAGATTTAGTCTAGGAATAAGGGTTTCAAGGAATAGTATAATACATGCAGCTAGCTATTTCTATAGGATAAGATCAGTACCAACTCTCACCTTGGCCCCGCTCTCGTATCTAGTGACTTTGAACTCAGTCAAAAATACATGCCCTCAAGGAGGTCAGTCATTTCCTTGAGGGTGATTGTTTTCCTAAGCTAAATCAAATCTGATTTTAGGTGTGGGGATCTAAAAATCCCGCTACATGGCGCAAGTACCTAAGGATGTGACATCTTTCATTGTATTGAATATATAACGGTGAATAAAAGGAGTAGCGCTTCGATAAAAATCGTATAGGCATCTGCTTACTAAAAAAAAAATAGGGCAAACCGTATAATCGAGTGATGCCCCATGAACTTGACAAGCAAAACATGTCTTGATTAATTGTGGTGAGAGATAAGCGCTTGTTGGTTGATAAAGAATAGGCGTTCAAAATATAAGATTTAAAATATATCAACCTTTCAAGAATTGTTTTTTCATAAAATTGTCATGTTTCATTCTCGGGTGAACTGAAAAAAGCCCACTATTTGCGCTCTTTCTTAAATAACAACAGTGCAGTCCTCTTAATAAAACTGAGGAGATGCTTTTATGGAAACAGTTGAATTTTTTTCAATAATATGAGCCTCCACCTTTACCCGTACAGTGATTGGGTTGGTTATCTGACCACAATCTTTTCCACCTCTTCCTTAGCATTTTCCCAACTATCCAGGTTCTTACGGGCCCACTCAATGTGACATTTAGCGTATACAATCTGAATGGATATATTGTTAGTCTTGGTAAAAGACGATTGATAAAGATTGTAATTACCATCATTGCTCTCAAATCTTCTTCCTTTCCTCTCTGGAATCGCCTCAAATCTCTTAATACGCCTTTACTGGCATCTTTCACGTCTCCCTCGGCCACCTCTTTTGCAGCCTCGAGTTGACTTAGCTGTTCGCGCGTTTTCCCGATGTTGTCCCTTCTGGTTCTTTCAGGATCTACGTCAACAATTCCGTGGATCGCATAATTAAGCTTCCCGAACCCCTTCGCTAGAAATCCACTTCCGCCAGCTATACCACCTCCCATAATACCAATTCCACTGGATGTAGCAGAAGACGGAGCACTATAGGAAGAAGATTTTCTGTGAGCGTGTGAAGTCGATGATGATGCACCTGCAGAGGAAGATGATATGCTATTTCTAGACGGTCGGGTGGTTGATTTAGATCTCTGCGGGGGAGGCGAAGATTCCGAATGCGTAGGGGGGAAGTCACCAGAATCAATGCTTTCCACGTCATCACCTGAGAACCCACCATCTACGCTACCACCAGAACCTCTAGACTCTCCATTGGAAATATCGTCACCATGGAGATACTGTTCAATTCTTTTCGCTTCCTTTTCAGAGCGTTCAAGACTTTGTAGCAGTAGGCGTTTTTGCGTCAGTAAGTCTCGTGTCATTTCTTCTTGGACACGCTTTAGGAGTCTGTAACGGAGAACCTTTTGAACTACACCGGCAAACTGTGCTGACTCGCGGAGAGGCTCAGCAAAACCAGAGCCAAGGACCCTGGCAAGCTCTTCTGTTGCAATGTAAGAAGAGTCAACCGCTTGCCCAATTTTCTCAATTGAAGCAGCAAGATCGCCAGTTTCAGATAGCGAGAAAGCGTTGTAGCGAGCGCCAAGTTCACTATAGTCGAGAGAAAGTTCACTTAATCTTTTAAGAATACGGCGATTGACACGCTCAATAGAGCCAGTCAAAAGCGATTCGTATGTTCGGGTGGCAGCTTCATAGGTAGTAAAGTAAGGGTCAAGCTCTGATTCTGAGAGCGTGTGGTTGGGTGGCGGGAATTGTGAAAAAGCTTGACCTTCACGGGGGCCATGCGGTGTTGAGGGAGGAGAGCTTTGTTTGAGCCTGGCAGAAGCTGAGGGGATTGGGAGAAAGGCGTGCCCTGGTGAGGGGTTTGAGGGGTCGAGAGGCGGAGCTTTTAAATGTTGTTTCGGCAGATTAGAGATTGGGGGTGAGCTCAATACTTCGCTCTATATATATATTGTCCGAAGTTAGCAGTGCATTTCTGGCTAGGGAAAGTGTAAATACCCAGCTGGCATTAGAATCTAAGAACCTCTGAAAGACACTATCTTCCCGAATCTCACGCATTCTAGCGCAACGGTTCAAAAAGACCCCCAGCATACGTTTCCGGTGATCAATGATGTTAACATTTTCTTTAGCGCTCGTGGGTGCGGCTACATAGTCGGAGACTTGATGTTTCTCTGGTATGGGGGGTACGATAAGACAGGGATGTAGCAGGGCGAGATTCTTGCGAAGAGATTCGAATTCGGAGTAGCGACGACGAACTTCCAGGTCCTGTAGTGTTGGTCAGCTTGAAAATTTCAATCACACCCATGTGTCGATCGTGCCTCTTTTGAAAACTTATATCTTGGTGAGGGATGGAGTTTTGGAAGCTATCAAAACATACCCCGGTCCTAATTGTGTACACAATGTAACCACCACTTCCTTCCGAGTTCTTCCCCGCGTCGGCAATCTTGATAGCAACATCCTTATTTTCCATTAACATTTGTTCAACTCGAGAGCCATAGCCTGTGGGCTTTCTTTGTTGTCTATACTCCTCTTCTTCACCTTCATCGTCATCGTCGTCTTCTAGATTGTTCCGAGGTGGAAAGTCATCCTGAGAGTGTTCAGAGGGAGCCTGGTAGGTTAAGAAATCAGGCGGATCAGCACCGTGGGAGTCGTCTGAAGCTGCTGGAGATAGTCCAGGACGATGGAACGAAGAGGTAGATGACCGGCGATCATAGGAGAGGGGGTTATTGTCCTCCCACATTGCTAGTGAAGGGGTTGTCAAGGGAGAAGCGAGCGAACAGTCACAGTTGTATGTAGGTAGAGATAAACGATAAGCAGTGAGACACAGACTTTGAGAATAGCGTCTCTGAGCTCCTAGGAAGGATTTCTAGCAGCGATGAGGTGAGGTCTGTGATGTTAAAGATGTTGGTGATAGTGGGGGTGTTGAGGCTGTGGTTGTGGTGGTGACGTCGCTATGTAGAGCATAGGGGGGTTGAGGTAGGGATGCCGAAACCCGTGACAAGTGGTAAACGTACTGGTAAACCCACATCCTCATCGATCATCAGTTTAGATTTTTCGGCAAGCAAGATTACAGGTAGCCAATAGTGTTGGAAATCACTCCTTGCTCTCTTAATAATCCCATTCATGTCTAAAGTACATGTAGCCAGTATATTAAGCACCCAAACCATTTTACTACGTGAACATACATAAGGTTCACCGGCATCCCAAGAACAAAATTATATTAAAGATCTTCCTGACAGTATACATATACTCCAGTACATATTAGACATGAATGTATACAAATGGGATGTAACTACATGTACCGGTACATGTACATGTAGCCTAGACCATATGGGACTGAATAAGCCTTCTAGATTTCCCAGATTTATGAGCGTCTCGGAGTAAGGAGATGTCGACGCTTCGTTAGGCTAGCAGGCTTTGTTTGCTGTTTACATTGTAACTTTGGTAGTATCTATACTACATGTACTCTATTGCCATTCCATTAACATAAAAAATCCAGTTCCTACATGCCCAAACAACAACCACATATGTACGCGCCACATCTCTTCTTCCCGTACATCACCCCTGATCTTCTGTAAAATTCGGGTCATTTGTTTCATCTTCACTATCAACAACACTCTCCACTGTCGCTCTATACTTAGATTGCCCCATGGAAAAGTTTGCCATATGCACCTGCTCAGCTCTCTGCATACCCTGGAACTCATGTCCAGCACCTCGCATTCTTTGCGATTCCTCTGTTTTGACCCCACGACGCCTTATACCCCTAGTGTCAATCCGTTCAGGTAATGGATTTGCTATCCGTGGGGCAGCAATATTTTTGGGGTTTTGAGTAATTGTTACTGGAGGAATAAAGGGTTTTCCACGTGAATTGCTTACATGAGGCCCCCGAGAAACAGTACTGGCTGATGATTTTCCTGGATGATAATGTATTGTGACCTCTGAAGTGGAGACGTGATTTTCTCGACGGCCCTGCGAGTTGCCGTTTGAGGCTGACCCTGGTGAGTTTTGGGGTGGCCCATATGATATACCAACTGTGTTCGTATCTCTTAATCCTACTAACATAGGCGTTCTAGAAAGGGAAACAGCCTTACTGCCTATATTTCCGGGGAGTCTTGAGGATGCAATTTGATTGTCGTCGCGGACTGTGGTATCATCAAGAGATGGCGACGCGCAAATCACATCGTAGCCTAATGTCGAAGAGGAGGACATTGAGTTGGGGACAAAATGAGTTCCGATTTTTCCGGCCTCAAAGGATTCGATAGAGCTTGCTACTGGGCGATATACAGAATCTAGATCGTTGAGTTCAAATCTATCTCTAGATTCGCGACCTAGGATACCAGCTCCAAGGAGATAACCAGCCATACTGATAACAGAACTAGTATCTGAAGCTACAGGTGAGCCTAGGGGCCTGTAGTAAGGCTTTGAGGCAACAGATTCTGAAGATGAGCTGGAAGGCGAGTGATAATTTATGACTTCTTCTGAAGTATAAGTTGTGTTGACATTTGTTGGGGAGCTTTGCGAGTCTGCCCTAGAGCGATCGCTGATTCGAGTATTCATATGTGAGCTGGAAACCATAAAAACATGGGGAATGTTGTTTCGAAGAAGTGTTGGAGAGATTGCCCCCGAATCAAGTCTGATAGGGGAGTCTGAAGCGATATCGGGGTCACTTGCTCCTATGCTAGTGTTCAATGATATATCATCAGACCATTGGGGGCTTCTCTCTCGAGAATTAAGGTTGGTTGTGAGCGAGTTCGGTGATGGGTTTAGTATAGGTGTAGATTGACGGATTATGGAATTCATTACTAGTCCCACAGGCACTGGATCTTGCGCTATATCTATATCTCCAGAAGAACGGGGTGTGGTAGAAATTCTACTTTGACTGCTGTTTCGCCCAAAATCAACCAATGTGCCAGGGTGCTTTAGCTCAATCTTGGGCTCTATCGATTTAGCACCGCCCATAGTTCTTCGGGAAGTCTCAAATTCCTCTCTATCATGAATGGCGTTGTTAACATCGATAGATGTTCCATGTGTTTCCTCAAATGAGATCGCGCTGATGTTTTGGTAGATATTGAGTGGAAGAGGCATAGGTTCTATAAGGCGGGCAGAACTGGATGACGGGGGCGCGTTGATATCGGAAATGAAATGTCCTGGGGACGTAAACTTTGCAGAATCCAATCTCTCGGACGAATGAAACCTTCTATCCTCACGTTTGATGTCGTTCTCAGACACAAACTCCCGCAATGGCCGAGTCTTAGAAACAATTGATTTACGAGGTGGAATGTGGGATTTTTCTGGGTATGAGACATCAGAATTACTATCTTGGCTCGGCGTCTGTGATTGCAGGGTTCTTGTCCTCGAACGTTTTCGTGGCCGAGTTCGTGTGTAGCTCTGGCAAGGAACCGGATGATTATCGGAATCTGGTGGGCTTTCCTGAATGAACCGAGAGGGAACCGTGAGATCAAAAGGTGGTGAGTTTGTTTGTTTTCTTTGTATATATGGCGCCGGGCTAATTGAGTTGGTTTCTAACTTCAAGACTGGTGCCTCTGACCGCCTAGTTTTACTCCCCTTTTTGCGAGCTCTTCTAGCGCTGCATTCAGTCCCTAGTCTGGTGCCTCTGACCTTTGTCGCCCGTTGCCGGTATCTCCTTCCATGATCTTCCTGGAAGTCATTATACTGTTGACTTGATATTTCTTGACGATGTTGACTTCGACCTGTTCTCTCATTTGGGATTGTATTCATGGTATGCGTGCTCGTATCTTGATATCCGGGGTTACCTCGTGTCTGACTCTTGGGGCCACCTATGGTATCTATATCACTACTGCATTTCCCATGGGTGTTCCCATGTTCCGATATCGTACACCTGGCCAAATCGCCGCAAACGCTTGTACAGAAAGTTTCTTCGTCATTTGGACTCTCATGGTTACTGTTGGAAGATTTCTTAGTTCATCTGAAAAAGAAAATTCTTTCTTCCAAATAATGCATTACATAACTATGACAAATCTAGTCTTTAGGGGTGGATCAGGTCTTTACTAACCGTCTTCTTTTGTAGCAAACGCAGTAATATATACTGACAATCAAGCTGGGTAGTAGGATTCCAAAGATTATACCAAGGCTTATACTGACTGCACGCTTTGAGTCGGCATCGTAAGCCTCAGTGAGCTCACGAGGGAAAATATTGTAGGATAGGGTAGTAAAGCTAACTGAGCTAGGGAAACGGGTAGGTACAGGCATAAGTGGCATGTTCTGGGGATACCGGGGAGACGCAGGAGAGTCTTGTGATAAATCCCCAAATTGGAGAGGGAGTCCACTAAGGTACTAAGAAGTACTCCCGAAGTTATTAGGAAAGAGAGCAGGATGAAAGGAAATAAGGTGAAGTACTGCCAAATAATTCTTTTGGATAATGGCCTAAGAGGGAGGAAAATACGATCTCAACCAGTGTAGGATCTCTAGCTTTATACCACCTTTATGTGAATATAATCGATAAGACAAACAGAAATTCGGTCACGACGTGTCCCCAACACCTCCTGCCCCGCTCGATTCGATGCATTTCTTACTTTACGATCAGGGCTTCAACTTCCCGGCAACAGACATAGTGAGAAAAAACTTGTTCACAGCGTAGGTGTGTAGTGAGGATTGGTTGGTGAACGCAATAGGACTGTATAACAAGGGGAGGAGAAGCATTAGGTAAGTTCCCGCTTCCTTGGTGAATCAAGCGCTGTTTGTGGGATATTTAAGGCATAGGAAAGCACGTGGAATACTTGGGATGGTCATTGATCCTACAGAATGTTAGCTTTGCCCGCCCTATAGAGGGTACCGGTGAAATAAGGGAACTTGCAAAAACCTCGCTGAAGCTCCTGCCTGAGTCTGCACTTACAGCGTGACTTCCTGTGTTTGATGTTTAGGGTGCGTCTTGGACTCAGCGGTGCGAATGGAAAGGTTCTATCGTTTTTTAAGTTTCCTTTATCCCGCCTTTTCTGGTACCAAAGACAATTATCCTGAGGACAGATATTTCTGGCTTATCAAAATGGCCTAGCTAAACATGTGAGTACTTCACCACCAAAAGATATGTACTGCTAAAAAACTGTCAAATTAGAATCGACCACTAACGAAAACAGAACCATCACATTTTACTAGAGGTTTTCGAAACTCGCCCGATCAGAAAGATTATACCGACGGAAGTCTAACTCCATTTCTAGTGGTTGGGTAATATTTAAAACAAAAAGGTTTCCAAAGCGCTGCTATACAGATAAGAACGTAATTTTCTTAACCGGGTGGTATATATCAGTGTCAATGATGGAACATGCAAAGCAATGTAAGCATACGTATACGTTGTGTAAACAATGATGACAAAAATGCTTGAATCTAGGATAGCATAACATGAGCAAATTTGATGTAATTGTGAGTAATATATAGTTGCACTAAGCCCTATAGATTACCAGTTTCTCTTGCTAAGAAATTCTTTGGGTAGCTTGAAGTTTCTTTTAAACTCATCGTGCATATTTGAAACCATTTCTATGGAAGTCCACTAGTTATTGACCCCTATTTGGATACACCACCTCCGATCAGCTCATGCGTCCACCAAGTCTCACATGAGATTAATTCACAACATATTTCAGCTCACCCCGGACCATCCCTTCTTCTTAGCTTCTCAACGTAAGTGCTGCATTTCACTCTGTTATCATTCTAGGTGCCCTCATTATGGCTAGGCTCCTCGAGAGCTGCGTTACCTTGCCAGCACTCTCTAACATATCCCCCCTCCTCCGCTGGAACAGCACAAACGGTTTCCCCATATGCAGAGTGCCCATGCACTATGCTTATAGGAACCCCACGGCCATAAGATCCGGATGTATTAGAAAGCTCATCACGTGCGTGGATCTCTGCATCGCTTGTACCAGCTTGATTATCATTATCGTCGGGGAGTACCTGCACCGAAATATCCGTGGGGGTTTCTGCACCTAGTTCCGAGAACTGAGGTGTCTCAAAGGATGAAAATGAGCGAATTAGCCTGCGGGGGTTGCTGGAGATGGAGAAAGCAGGGCTCATTAGTGTTGTTTGCGCCAGTGGTGGGGTCTCTAACTGTTTTTCTTCTACTGAATCAGTAGATTTAGAGCGCAATGACTTGTCGAAGCTTGAGAGGCCTGTTATGAGAGAATATGAATTGTGAGATGTCTCTTCGATGGCCAAATCCTCTGCACAGGATCCCGAAGAAAAACCTTGCTCGACTCTATCAACGGAGGTCTCAAAACTTTGTTTTGAAGATCTTAGCTCTCTTTCATCAATGCTTCCTTGAGCATCCTCGGACAATGACAAAGAGATACTATTCCTTCGGTCCGAAGGGGAAGGAGAAAGGGATCTTCCAATCGATCTGGCTTGATCGTTGTTCGATATCTTCCGGGTAGCGGCGTTGGAAATATGTCCGTGGATTTCATGATGGCAGGTGAATCCAAAGTCCCGGATTGTTTCTTTTTCGAGGCCTCTTCTCGATAAGGAGCTAGAACTTGAAACCCTTCTCAAGCCGCAGGCCATCGCTTCTATTACCTCCGTATGCCTTTCGCCTTCATTTTCTACCTCTCGGCATACAGCACCACCACCGTCACTATAATCCTCGTTATTGTTTCCCCCTCCATTCTTCTCTTCATGATCAACCGTATCTAATCCTCTATGAGGTTTATTCATACGTAGCCAAAGTACGAAGCCTAACGCAATGAGAATAGCAGGCAAACCAATTGAACAAAATAGAAGGATGGCCTTCTGGCCAGAGTTCCACGAAGCCCATGGGCCAACTACTGGCTGTGAAGGCTCAAGAGCGTCTCCCATTGTTGGTTGGGGAGTGGGTAACCCTGATACCGTCTGAGAAAAGCCAACATGTCCTTCTGATACCGGGCCTTGGGTTGGGGAGTTGGTGCTTTTAGCGCCGGAAATATAAGTAGAAGGAAATTTTATAGAAGTGAGGGTGGTAAGCACAGGGACATGTGTTGCTTGATCCTCAGCAGTCGACGGGGCTCCTGTCAGAATCGACGACGTGCAGGACTCCGATGGAATAGGAAAGGTAGATAAGGATTCAGTATAAGATACCTCACCTGAATTCCTGCTTGCTGGCTTACGTGTTCGAGTTGAGGCTCTTGTGGCGCTGTGAGATTTACTCCAAGCAGTTTTCGAAACTCCGGTAGCTGCTTCGCTTGGTATGATCGTAGGAGTATTGTTGGGTTCGGATATCATTGATGCGGTATTTGTAATTACCGGCGCGGCTTCAGACCAATCCATACTCGTAGCCGTAGGATCTGAAGATAGAGATGAAAGAGGGCTACTTGAAAGGTTGTCACTAGGTAAAGAAGGCCTAGGTATACTGGACGATGAGGGGTTCTCAGTCAGTTATCGAGGATGGCCTGCGCAAGTATTATTTAGGATTCGAAAGGAAGGTGTTTGTGAAAGATTGCTCTCTGTCTTTTGTCTGCATGGATAGTATATAATTCGTTCCGAATATCTCACTACATAATATATATATAACGAGTTGGAAGTCACTGCTAGGTCGTAGAATGATGTATGAAGTTCCTCCGAATACGTATATACCCATGGAATTGTTCCATTGTGCATGTGGTTAATTCCCGTTTCTATGGAAAATGGATTAATAGAGTCGACAGAAGTCAGGGTGTTATTCAGGTAAGTAGGCTTGCTCCTTCTATTCATCTATCTTAATAAAAATCACGTGACAACCCTAACGAGTGACACTTTATGAAGAAGTTGTCACAAAGATCTTTGGTTGCGTAGATGAGCTTAAGGTCTACAAAATGTCAGATAATTCATGCTGAACCGTTTAGATTTTCGAATTTATTGATTTTAGAGCTAAATCCACATACTATCTACTATTTGTGAAGGTTCTGTGTTAATTACTCCAAGTTCTTCCGGATTATCACATACAATGAATAGGTTGGTTGAGATATGAATACTTTGTACCCAAAATGTTTGATCTCTGCTCACTATAAACGACTACTCATAGTGACGTACATCTAGTACAGCTAGGAGATCAAGAATTAAATTTCAGCATCTCCTGAAAGTTTTAATGAAATCTGGCTAGCAGAATCCTCCGGCCCTTATAACACTCTACTAGACGTGTTTCGTTTTGTGTGAATGATGTGGTATAATCCAATAGGTATATATAATAGAAATGATAGACTGAAAACCAGTTCTACAAACTAAGAGACCTACAAGTATACAATTGACTCATTTATAGGGACTGGACCGGGTCCTTCAATGGGCATTCAATGTAACCCCCCATCACTCCATGTCCAAACTCAGTATTAATGGCCGACAAAATGAGATGAAAAATTAAAGAACTACATAATTTCGCTCTAGCTGTGATTCTTAGGCTGATTGAGTCATCTTACCCATATTTTCGCTTGTGGTAAAGTACACGAGCAGTGCATCTGAGAATCATGATCATATAAGATCAATCATATGCACACTTGTACTCTACTGTATGTAAATTGCCTCAAGGAGGGACCGTCAAGCTAGATGATAGAAAGCCAATATCATAGGCGTACCAAGTAGTGGGAATTCATAGCTTTAACGGAAAAGATCTAGAATGACATAGTCTTTCGGTAGACGTGCTCTACAATAACACATGATGCAACATGATACAGCTTAGGGTTCTGCTTTATTTTGGCACACCACCAAGCTAGCTCAAGTATCACTTGCAGCGCAGTATCTATCATGGGCGAGTGGTCTAGTGGTTACTAGACTGCTCGTTGGGTAAGACACCGAGTGTTTGGACAAGGTCTTAAGTCCAAACCAGGGGTGGGGATAGTACCGAATACTTAGCAATGAGTCGGTAAAGTATCTTTTGTTCTTTTTTTATTCTACCTTTCTAGCGAAATAAATTATGAGGCTATTCTGATTTTGATTTCTCTAGGCGAGGAAGGGGTGGGTAAGGTATAATTTCCGGTTTAGATCATAGCGAACTGTAGTATTTTTCATCAAGTGTTATTGCAGAGCACCTACACCGAAATCTGTGTCACTTTAGACCTTTTCCATTAATGAGTCTCCCACTCTATTTTTTTCTTCTCTTATGTCAGATCAGAAATGAGTGTTGCATCGTGTTTGACCCAATGGCGAAGAACTGTAAACCCTTACCTAGAGCGAGATACAACGACCAAAAAAGCGGATGGATCTGGTTACCATCTCTGACAGAACACTGCAAGGTTAGGGTATGACTACAGTATTGCTATGGCATAATATTTAGGATCGCGATTTGATTCGGAAATTTTGCACAATTCCGTATTGGTACAGCAACTGTTACATCCTCTTTTTGGCATTGTAGCTAGATCGGCGTACATATGAAGGAGCTAGATTCGCCAGGGGAACGCTGTTTATATATATATGCGCAAATTAGTCTTTAGAGATTGTGAGGTAAGGTGGTTTGTCGTGACGATTGTCTGCGATTAAAGTTGGTTTCTACCAACTTGATATGGTGCCTCCTACTGGCTACATAAATCTTAAAAAACATAATGGACACCCTTTAGAACATACTTAAACAGCTCAGGCAGATTGGTTGCGTATTAGTTTCGAATGGATAGGTCAAGTTTGGCCAAATCCGGGTTCAAATAATGTAAATTGTACCCTCCTCTATACTGCTAGAGCGGTTGGCGCTGTAGTACCCTCGACTGCCTTCCCCTTCTTCCTAGCCCTCAACTTCCTGGCCTTCCTATCCCTCTTCTTCAGGGTGGTCATTCCCGACTTCGCCACCTCCGCATATCGTACATAAAAGGCCTCCAACTGCCCAGCTTCCACTACTGTGGAGAACTTTACTTTCTTCGCCTTTTCCTGGCCATCGGTAGCGCGTATGAGGAGCTGTAGGGGCGCGTCGGGATCTATGGGTGCAACGGGGGTTTTTGAGTCTTCAGAGAAAGGGATCAGAACTTTTTGCGTAATGTATACGGAGTTCTTCTCACTGGCGGAAGTGGACGTAAGGAGGGAGGTAAGTTGCGCGAAGAACTGCACGGTGTGTTAGTGGTTACGTTTCTTCTGGCCTGACGAGTAGCGGGGGGGAGTGCCGTGCCTCATCGTTGGAAAGACGTCCTTGAGGTGCCATGGTATGTGTATGCGTGAAATGGAATCCCCGAGGCGTGAATTGGTTAATTTGAACCGTTTAGCTTCAGCTGTGGGGATTGTTGAAGGGTTGGGGGGGGTTGAGGTGACGTTTAACGAAGGTTATCGTTATCTTATCTACTTAATCTAATCTCGCATTAGCCTGGTTACCAACTCTCGTTAGTGATACTGCATGATAATAGAGACTTTGCGCTGGCTGCAGCCCGTCACAGAAATGCCAAGAATTTTAGAGCCGGATCTCTATTTCACTTTGCGCTGTGAATGCAGCTGTTGCCACTAGTTGCGCAGCCTAGAAGTGTTCCTCGCCAAGCATTCCCTCCTACTCAAGACAAGTCTTGCAAATCACAACATTTGTTTAAATACCCCCAAAACATGTCAGTGATAGATATGCTTCCAGGCTATCTTGAGAATCAAAAATCTTTTAGATTAGACAAGTATTGGTCGAGCTGTGAGGAAAACACGGAGCGGAGGTCTAATTTGGGGATTTGGTTATTGCTCTGGCTTCAAAACAAGAGCTGGCTCTGCTGAATAATTTGGTCACAATGCCAAGTGCTACTAAAATGGAGCTGGCTCTCCCAACGCAAAGTCTCTAATTCACTTTTTTACTCGTATGTACCTGCTTATAAATACTTCTTTACTTCTTATAGAGATATTTGCCTTAAAAGAATATATTGAATATAGATTTTCGGTTCTGACCGTATCCTTACCGAGAGGCGACTGTAAACTCAACCTCAGCCTTACCATACCTTTGAGAATCTCCAATGGCCAGTTAACACTCGAACTGCTAGACTCGTGCACGTGGCCGGCCACGTGGGTGACCGCGCTTGGCAAATACCTTCAGACTTTGACATCGGATGAAGTGTTAACAGTTCTGTGTGGCTTTTACAGTGAATAAAAGGCAGCAGCTAGATGTATTAAGAAATTGATATTGAAAGGGATCTAGGAGCAGGTTTCGATTTATGACATCCTGTCATTGGGGAAGATGATCTTCAAAACTACGTAAACATTACTGTGGTTCTTAAAGAAGCGATGGCACTAGGTAAACTCATGTTTTCCAGCTTTCTGAAAGAGTGAGAAACCCCAGATCATGTAGAACCGCTCGGGATACTAAGCACATAATAAATCTATATAAATTAATTAATAATTTGCTGATTTCCTTTCTTACTTTTCATACATAGCTAGGCTCGTCTATAAGCCACTCAAATAATGAGCAATTTAGTTAAAGATGCTAAAAAAAAATACGCTTGATAGTATTGTCGTGGAAGTCCTTTTGTGGGGCTAGCTCTCACCTTAAGAAATCATCGGTGTTCGTACTTCTGGTGTTGCACGAAATACTAGTAAGGATAGCCGAGACACAGCCTATCACTCGGCTTTATGCACAGCTTAACCCGATTGGGCCAGGTATTATCAGAATATAAACCTAAACACCATAGTTCACTATAGCATGAGCGGTCCTAAGACTCAGAAAACCAGTGTTATTCTCTTTCAGGAGGAGCCCTGTAACATCTATATAAGTACGTACTAGATAAATAACGGCCATTGAGAGCACTTGGGTTCGATCGTGAGATCTCCTTATAGACGATATTATGGGGCCAGATCTTTATGTGTATGGGAATTAAAACTAACCAGAGACTCAATAGCTGTGACAACTTTGGAACCGTGGGATAGTGTAATTGATCCATCTACTGCATCCCTCCTGCAGCTCGCCACCTTCCTCTTAGCTACCCCACCCGAAAGTTCTAACTATACACGCAATTTTAAGTACAAGATCAAAAACAATACCTTGCTTTGACCACTGAACATACTAGTCATCGTCTGTGTAGTTGTCCTCTACCAAATCAGCAAACCACGCAAGGTTAAAGTACAACGAGTTCTGGCCATAGGGTCAATAGATGTACGTATATTAGCACATGCTGCATGTATCTTATCTGTATCCCATAGCCAGATATCTACTCTCAAGGCGAAGCAAACTGACAAGGCCGCATTTCCCTCATTATAGTCAAGCAATTTCCGTTTCATTTCAGCGCTCATTGCATTACCATTGTCCCCCACTACTACATGTAACTTGCCGTGCGTTAACATTGTGTTGCTGTCCATACGGAAGCGCGCATGTTTCACCGACGGGCAACCGCGCATACCAACAACCACCCAATGTAAAACGAAGCGAAAACGGCACTGTAAGCTTCCCCTAATAGCTTCAGGGGCTAATGTAGTCTCGGATGAATATTGTAGGAGGGAAAAGGCTATTTAGATCGTAGAGCTTCCCTCAAGCCATCCGTTGGCCCTCAAGCCAGTCTTTCCAAGAGAGAAAGAAAAAAAGCTTACTGCTGTTACGTCGCACCTCTTAGCTTTTAAACTTTCACATCGAGAAGTCAGAAAACATGCTAAGTTTCTCGTTACTGCCCGCCAATATCGCCTTTATCATTTTCACCCTGATTTTCACTTCACACAGCAGTGAGGCTACCTATGGAACAAATAATACCGAGTATCATGCGGAGAACTGCTACGAAACAGCCCCGGAATGCGTTGAGAGTTTTGATACGATGGTGGTCTGCGGGGTGAGGATACAAAACCCGATCAGTGCTTATCTCGACACATCATTCTTTACGACTACACAGTTGGAATGTCTATGTACAACACGTGGATACTCAAGAAACGCCATAATGTAGGATCACATGCCGTTCTTCAACTTTGACTTCACATCTTACCAGGTGGCCATCGACTGACATTGTATGAAAACAGCTGTGCTGAATGTTTTGGGTACAAGCCTAAAGGATGGACAGAATGGTGCGCAAAGTCAGAAATAAAATCGAAAGAGCTTCCAATGGGTACGGTTATTGGTGCAACAATAGGCGGGTGCTTCATAGCTTCCGGGGTTGCATTTACAGTCTATTTATGCGTACGAAAAAGAAGACAGGCAAGACGACAGAAAAGTGGTAAAACGGAAATGGATGAGCATGGGATAGTGAGACATCAAGACCCATCTGTGGAATTGGACGGAAGCGATAGCAGAGAAGAGTTGTGGTAGCCTTTGTTCTGAGCTACTTGGGTTGATCATCAACGTAGAGCATCTAATTTCGTGTGACATATTGTTGAGGCAAAGGCAATCCAGAGAAAATAAATACTCTAACAGGTGCCTGTAATGATACGTTTTAATACATATCTAGAGAGTTGTAGCATGTATAAATACCACTCACCTCGATAACTAGTGTGAATAATCTAGAAATCCTCTCGATAGTTTAATGATCAGGTCATACATGTTTTATCTTTCCTATCCCTGCTCTTCATTTTTTGCAAAAGACCGATACCAAGAATACAGCGATGCGCCTAGCAGTCGAGATAGCACTCTATCCTCACTACTACCCACCATTTGATCATGCACCCCCACACTACTCGAGCCCTATCACGTCTCTAAAACAGCGTGTGTCGGAGCTTTCCTGAAGTAATGCTAATGACACACTCATAATGCGGGATCCCACCTGTGCCAGATTTTGTGCTAGTAAATATGCTCCCGCAAAGGCACAATACCTCTGCAAGGTCCCAGTATTGATGCACACGATTGATCGGCGCGATTTTTTTCTGTATGGATACTAATTTTTGCAACGTTGCTGGCGATATCAGGGACACTGGACGCTGGCCTATCAAGAAATCCATGAAAAAAACACAAGATGTTGCCAATTGGTGCGACTATGGGAATAGTTGTCAGGGTTGTACCTATTATTAGTGGGAGGCGCTGCACCAGGTTCTGTATGGAGGAGATCTTGTGCTAAAGGGGTTTGGGGGGTGGGGGGTAATTCACAAAGGGTTATTGATTGGAGGGATATAAGATAAGTTTGGAGATATTGCTAGTGCGGTAGTTAGGGGCGAGAGTTTAGCTACACGGCAGACTTATCTCAATTAATCTTTAAGTCTCTTTGAGTATCATCAGATATATATAGGGTCTGTCAAAAAATAGATTCCAGTCATCTGGTTCCAGGAAATAGCTTGGGTAACCTTAATGACCCCAAGACCGCAGGTATAGGATTTCTTTGATTCAGTCAACGTTGCGGGGACATTTCATGAAGGTAGCCCCTCGGAACTGTTGGGCTACGTACTGAGGGCCACCCACTCACAGAAATCTTTCTTGTTTGGTTCACATCCGTATCCGTTATCGATCAGATAGCGATGAAGAATTCGCGGGGTAATTCACACACAAACATCCATCTTGTGGGGCCTTCTGCGCATTTGGTTAATGATATTCTTGACACGATGGCGGCTCTCTGTCTCCCTATCGGAAGAGTAAGCTTCATCATAAATCCTATATCCACAGAGCCTCTGTAATATTACTCTGGTATGATCACTGGTTAGGAAGGTAACGGTAAAGTGCTCCGCCATAACTGAAAGGTTGCATGCGAGTATGAACTAAACAAAAAAAAAGGTAACGGTAAACAAGGTTTGATAAGACACAGGCCTAATGATAGTGCTTTTTATCCTCGGGAGATCTCCAAAATCAAAGAATCTTCAGTACATGTACGTATGGTAGGGCGGGGTGAAAAAGCTGATGTAGGAGGCAGAGTGGGGATATGTGGTGTGGTTATTTGACTGGTTTGTCTGAAGGGTGGGCTAGGACTTGAGCGGGGCATACATGCCACAATTGGCCCGGGGAGGAGGGATGGGGGGGTGGGGGGGATGCAACTCCAACCACAACTGGACGGGGGATACATGTAAAACAGTAATGAAGGAACAAAAGGAGTAAATCAACATACGTGTACTTACATGTAGCCATCATGACCTCTAGGATACCATTCTCATCCTCAGCTGCAGGGGTGAGCATGAACCTGTGACCTGATAAAAGACTGACCCGATCTTCCACCTGCGTGAATGCTAACCCACCAGGCTATATCATTTTTTTGCACTTCCATCTAAGAATTAATCGTAAACATGCTGGGGTCAAAGTTAGATTAGATTTGACGAACGGCTAAGATCACCGAGCCTAGAAACGATACCATGTACTCAACAGCTAATAGAACCTTCAAATCTGATAGATGCTTATTGTATACATGTAGCTTTCCTTATGGAATGGTACATGTTGTTATTGGCGTGTAAGTATCAAAGGGCACTTCCTCAAGTCCATAGTCGACTCGCATAACTTTGATCTAACGTCCTGAATAAATCTTTTTAGAACAAAACCTTTTAAAAATACCATTTTTTTAATCACCAACACTTGTCTTTCACGATCTATGTGAGACACAGCAAGCTTTAAGGGCAAACATACTGTTAGATCGCGATTATGTCAGGATCTTCTTTTCTTCCTTCAGCCAGATAATAAAGACGGGAAGAGCAGACAAAAGAGCAGAAGTGGAACTACATCCCACCCGAGGAGTTATTTTCCTCTATAGCCAAACTGATGAAAGTATTCTACCCCGGGTCGTAAACGATACAACTCAGCTCCTAGATCATGTTTACAAGCCTTTTCAGCCGAAGATCTGATGGCCTTTAACACTTGTTTTTTGGAACTAGCTTCTTGGACAGACTGTTAGAGAAATAATGGAAGAATTTTCTACATTAACCGATCAGATATATATGACCTCGATCTAGTGATACATTCTTGGAGGTCTTGTGAAAGATGGCTTTCTCCCCAGAGCTCGAAGAAGCCTTCCCCTATTCCCTCTACCGAGCTCGGTGGACAAGAAAATAAAAACTTCTCGAGTATATATACTTGCGTTGCGATATTAACTCAAGATATTCGTTTCCCATAGTAAATTATCAAGTTTTCCGAGTGAGTTAAATATGATTCAAATGTACTTACGAAACGAAGCTTTGAAAGAAATGAGATTGATATAAATGGGATTGAAAAGCAAATTGCATTCTAAATACATAACAGAAACGAAAGAAATTGAAGAGACAAATTATTTTTACAAGCACATACATATGAAATCATATGGGGTTTCCGTCATAAACGCGCTGGAGCTGCCGGACGGAAAAAAGAAGAGTACGCATAACCGGGGTCGGGCGCTAAACACGGTTTCTGCGGGCTGTAAGATAACAAACTATATGTACTTGATCCGACTCCGAGAAAATGTAGACACATATCCTAGAGCGATGTACATACCAGTCATACCCATACCATTGTAACATGTACTTTCGACCACAACAATCACTGACTGGCTATCATTTTCACTTTTTAAGGTCAACTTTGCTTTTGGGCAGTCGGGAATTTTGTGACAAGAGTGCCGTCCCCCCAACAGCAGCGGCAGTCGAAATTAGTAGAAATTCTCAACGAGAATTGCCTTATACCATTGGATAGTGTGCAGCTACTGGGCTAGGATAGTTCATTGCACGAATGGAAGAACATGGACATATAACTTGATCAAGGTGATTAATATTCATCCTTTGCCATTCAACCCAAGTCTCTATCCCTCACCGACCAACTCTCTATCACCACCTCGCAGTACACCAAGAAGACATGAGGGAATTGGGAGAAATGTCGATGGGTTTGGTCCATTGGGCATTCATGTGCAGCTGAAGACAACGGTTAAAAGTACTAATGACTTTACAGACTCAGACTTGATTCAACTAGACCCATCCATCGTGTACACAGGTATCCGGATATGAGGTAAGTGATCGTCGGTCCTGTGAAAAAGAAATGGAGTCATTAATTATTGAGATTAGAAACTCAGTTCTCTGAATGAGTCAAATATAGACATGACCAAAGATCCTAAGCTGTCCACAGCCCCGAACCATGTACGACGAGCAACCATCTATACCCGAGAAACCATCAAACATATCTCCTCCTACTGTCTCTATTAGTCTTCGAGTCCCGGCGCCTTGATCAAGGATGATTCTCTAACCTTTTACACCCAAACAACTCCTATTGACCTCCAAGAGAGGTATATGCAGACTTTCCATGCTTCTAAGCTTTGGTAACTGGAGGATCTACAATAACGGTGACAGGTGGGCACGCCTGTATCTCCGGATCATTGTTATTTCTCTTCCTCATGATGGCTAAGGCAGCACAGGCACCGAGACCGATCATGGATCCCCAGATGAGAAGGATAATGAGGACGATAATGATGCTGATGACGAGGATGATAACGTGATTTCCCAGCATTTTGAGTGAAGAAGGGCGGGGTGGTAGCTGAGGCTGTTTGGGGGGTGATTATTAGGGATATCCGAGATTCGAGGCTCGAGTGTGGTCTTGGATGGTTGTAGCGTGTGGGAGGTGGGGGGTAGGTAAAGACCAGACCGGCTGACAATGTTGTTTCTGTGTACACTGGCCAGCTGGGTGTGCGCGTGCCAGTGACAGCGGTTGACAGCGGTTGACGTTGTGTAGCAGGGGCTTCTGCACTACGAGATAGGAGCATTCCAGATTAAGAAACTAGTTTCTGTAAGATATATCGATAGTTAATAGAGTTTCCATCGAGATCTTGCCCGAAACCTATAAATTTCGCCATGAACACCATCGAGTGATAATCTATGAACAACTGTGTCTCTTATACTACTATAAATTCAAATATATTTATTAACCTTAGAAGCTAGTGAATCTGAAGAGCGGTATCTGAATTTGAAGTAATCGAGTCATTGAGGCGCTATAGTCGGAGGTGAAGAACGCATTATCCAGCCACTAAATGTACCCTTTCCATGTAAAGGCAGAACCAAATCCTCCCGTACATTCCAGGTAACCTGACAGCATTAAATCTTATATTAAAGATGCACAATTACAGGTGAGATAGATTGAACGCTTAGCAAGGGGAATAACAAATTTAGGTTTCGTTAATGATGTCGGGGTCTCAAGCTCCTTTGACCAGGAATAGAGGCTGTTGGGAGCCGTCGAGAAGGCAGAGCGGGGATTCTAAGGGACTGGAAGGGCTGCTCCATGTTCTGTCTGTACAGCTGTTCGGGAGAGGGGTTCGAGGGTGTAGTAATTCCGGTACCATGGCGGTGGACGGTAGAGGCGTCTACCCTACTGCAGTCTCAGTAGGGAGATTTATCTCGGATTTTGATTATCCTTGGATATCAAAAAGTTAGGTATATTAAGTTTGATGTTTTACTTTACCAATATCTCCTAACTAGAATTCTTAGTATAGCAAGAGGTTGGGGGAATTTAAACGAGTACGTGGTTTTAATATAATCACACTCAAGTGACTGGGTGGGTGGGCGGTCCATTGTAAGTAAGTTCACACTAATGAAAGTTGGCGTCATAGCGATTTATGTTGTCCTTTCAACACCTTACCTTTTCCTTACCTTCACATTCACTCACAAATCATTCTCCTGCTTTCTGATCTTCGATCATCATCCTGAACATTCTCTCATTTTATTGTCTTCATCCTGAACCTTCTCTCGACGTTCTTTGTGAAAGCTGCTCATTATACTATTTCTCAGTTGGAGCTTAGACGCCCTGCTAGCTGTCCAAGAAGCTCTGTAGTCTTCAGACTCCGTTTTTAAACACTTTCGTCCATCAGGTACTCAAGACCCATTTATTCCTTTCCCAACGCAAACATATTCATCTATTCTTCACCGCTACTCCTATTTCACCGCCACCTAAAAACACACCCACTAACACCCCCTAGAACCACAAAGAAAAGATCAATGGCCCCACTACCCCCCACCTATCAGGACCCCAAGCTCGCAAAGCTCCCCTGGATGGTCTCCAGCGGTGTAGCCTTCGTCATTATCTTTGGCACACTAGCCATCATCAGCTGTATCTTGTGCGTAAGCTACTGGTACTACGTCAAATGCAAGAATTGGGATGCCTTCCATAAAAAGCTCAGCAAGCAGTGGCGGAACGTCAAATTGTGGTTCTGCTGCCAGTATGTTAGACATGTAAGTTTGCTTCCTTCATCCTTCCTTCCCAGCAAGAAATCAATTAAAATCTCCGTGTGATGCTAATAAAGTACCTGCACGGATAGCCGAAGCACCCGGAAAACGATTGTCATCTGTTCACCGGACCCGACAGGCTTTCCGGCAGACCAAATTGGAGCCTTGCAAACCCCTCAGGAAATGCTCCTGGTGAGAACGAGAATCGAGAGGCGTTGAGGAGGGCGGGACTTGTTGTTTGACCTGTGATGCTGGAAGCATCCATGAAGCTTCATTGTGGATGCTACATTTGGCACCACAAGGTGCTGGTTATTCGTTTCTTTAACTTTAGCTTTGTTTTTTCTGGCCATTTTTCTTTTTATCTGGAGATCCATCTAGCATGTCATGTCACTGTTATGTCAGAGGATGTCCTAGCTAGCTGGAGCTATCTTGCATGCGGTTTATAGCTGGAATACATTTGCTTATCTACTTTAGCAGCTCTCTTCTTCCTATAGTCATTTTAGCGTTTGAGGATAGAGGGAAGGATAAGCGACACGTACATGGAGCTAAGATGTATTTACAGAACTTCCGACGTTGCGAAGAAGGTTGATTGATTGTTCCGAGCAGTCATTGCACTAACTACATGTACATGTGTTGGAGGGGGAGACTGGTAATCTTGTTTTTTGTTGTATACAAAACAAGCTTGATCCAGGCCCGATACTACATGTATGTACATGTAGATAGAGTACATGATGGCTATTTTTTCCTCGGTTATTAAGCCCAATCATGAGATATCACTCGACAGAATATCCACTAACCTTTTTCGGACGAGAGACCACATACATATACGTTGTGTTATTATTGTTTGGTAATAGACGAACACTACATGTAGATGCAACACATATTAAATTAATCCCCCGAATTTTCATCTAGTTTCAATGATACAATGATTGATTTTTATTCAGGAGTGGGAGAGCCCCTAGTCTAATATACATGAGATCAAAAGAGCCCCCTTCCTTTCCACTACTTCGACGCCTGGAGGCCTAACGTACCCTAAGAGATATTGATCACAAGCATCACTTTGTACAATTGTTTAATCACCACTATCATAAATCACCACCCTCAAAGTACATTAACGATGAATGATAAACTCCAAGACCACGGACCCGTTTAAAGGATTTAAAATTTACTCAAATATATAGAGAACAGCCTCTACTAGGCTTCCTCTACTCTTTCCCACTTCCTCCTCTTAATACCAACGGTAGCCGTTCCTCCTTCCTGCCTGCGCATGCACACGCCGACGGACCATCTCAGCCCGGCTGTCCAGAAGCCTATGCTGGCTATCTAGCTCGTCAGCTTCATCCCACTTCGCTATCAGGAGCCCTAGTTCCACGAACTGGCACGGATCCGGGAGGAATCTGAAGGCGATGTGGTTAAAGCCCTTCCTGTCGCGCAGGCAGAGTCTAGCTCCTAGAGCAGTCCCCAACGAGGCCATCCGGACGATTGCCGTCTTGAGGCCAAAGTGCGTCATCGTCGGGTCCCTACCGACCACGCAGTACTCGACAGCAGGCATGATAGCCTTGCTCTGCCTACTGATCATGGACACCAGCTTCTCCCTATTGACCCAAGAGGGGAGCCCGGTGATTTCGAGGCATCTCGTGGCCCCCTCGGACTCCATCGCCATCACCACATTCGGCTTGATCGGCTCGTGGCCTCCCTTCCGTGACGGAATGACATCCACGAAGCTCCGTGGGATGTGGATGGAGCGTCCAGGAACGACTCCACCTCCCCAGCAGATTCCACGGTTCTGGTTGACAGCGTCTCGGTAACGAGCTGCATCATCTCGGGAGATAAAGTAGATCCCAACTACTGTTCGGCACTCGCCATCGTGGAAGTCGATGCGCTCGAGTGGTCCACCACCCAGGTGCGTGCCAAGCTCTGCAAGGGTGAGGTCCGGAGGGAGGTTCTTGATAAGAATGCCTCGACCGTGTGGCTCGACGGACTTCTTAGACCGGTTCTTCTTGCTCGACTGTACCGAAGACTTGACCGAAAGCTGGCGCGGAATAAATGGTGCGGCCGACGCAGAGAGGGTGGTGGTAGGAACAGTGGGGATAGCGGAGACATCGAGGTTGGAAGAGACGGTTGAGGAACTATCGGAGATCGAGGAGATCTCTGATTCAGAAGGAGCACCCCAAAGAGAGTCATTCGAGCGGTAACGTTGCACTCTGGTGTTCTTATCACCTCCATGTTCTGGTGGAGGAAATTGCTGGCTCGAACTGCTCCACATAGCTCTGCAGCTGTTAAACCGATCATTGACCGGCACAGATTCCTCCAATCTGTTGACCGCAGGAGTGAGATTGAGGGCAATCCCTGCTCATTATCGAGATCCTGGACTTTTACAACTGTTCGGTGAACAAGTTGATTCCATGCCGCCATTGGAAAGTCGCAGACTCTCAATGGCCGCCGATCAACCGACGTCAACAATAACCATGTGGGGTCGACGCTGGCAATCAGTCTGGCCACGTTGGGGGCGTTGTTAGCGATAAGGAGCTCTGCACTCACTTTGCCGAAGACTCCTTCTAACAGTTTTATCATATTTGGCTGGATGTCAAGCTGCTGTTGGATCGTCAAAGTGAATGGCCTAGGTGTCGCAACGTCAAACCTGTTGTAAACGGGGTTCGCGGGTATCTTTGAGGATGCTACAGGGACACTCGCGGCAGGTTGGTGCTGGGAGAGCTCAGCATATAGTTCAAGCTCTTTGTTGAGGTCGTCCAACGGACCTGGACTCTTCACTCGAGACCCTGACTGGTCTCTGCCGTGTGATTCACTGATGTACAGGAACTCCCCACCTTCTGCGTGGGATTGTGCGACGGATCTGGTGTGTTGAGAAGATGAATTCATATTCTTTATACCAGTGCAAAAATCAAAAATCGCAGTCCCGGCCTTAACACCATCGTTCCCAGATTTGTACTCAACAGCTCCACTCCCAGTTATACCTAGACTTGTGAACCCTGAATTGTGAACTTGTGAGACCGCATCAATTTTTGAGTAAGTATGACCGACGTTATTAGAGGAGCTTCCATTATTTCCGTATATTTCTTTAAGAATACTAAGTGCTTGTGGTTGAGATCCTAATTGTGGAGAAAATAATTGACTTTTGTAAATTCGTGAGGTTGAGATATCGACTTTCGGCAAGGAAATCCTAGGAGTTGAAATGGATTCGCTTGTTGAGGTGTCTTCTGAGTCGGAATTGTCAGGTACATCATTGCTGTAAATTTCTTTCGGCCCGATAGTCTTTGGTTGAAATTCCAGCCCCGTCGGACCTTCCTCAGCCTGTGAAGTTGCTATACCGACTCCCGCGGAGACCCTCTCGAGGGAACCAATATTGAATGTTTCATCAAGCAGTTGAGTTTCTCTAGGTTCGGTATTTGGCTTCTCGGAGAAGGGGTGATTTTGAACCCGGGGAGTACTTGAAGTGCTGATAACTGCACAGGTGGCTCCATTGGTTTCTTCGTTGTCCTCTGGAACGGTTCTCTCTAAGCTAGACTTAATAGGACCGTGTCCAATGGTGCTTCTACCATAGATGTGATCAACAAGTGTACTTCTTCTATCTTGGATATTAAAAAGCACTGAGTTTTGAGTCGGAGAATATGAATCATCGGTATAACTGCAAGTGTCTGGCGTAATCTCGAGTTTGGTTTGAAGAATATTTCTAACATAACTAGAATTATTTAAATCATGCCTAAGACCACGATTGCCCTGGGTTTCATGAAGTGGTTTGTTTTCTGCCTCCGGAATCTTTGACTCCTGCGAGAATGGTGAGATTTGAGACCGTATATGAGAATTCTCAATATAAGTGTGTGTGTCTTCCGTAATCTCAAAACTGTATTGGCCTCCAAAAGTAGGTTTCACAAGACCAGTCTTTCGAGCATCGTGACCAAGAACGTTTTGGCTAGAATTGTACGCGCCAGAATTGAGTCTACCATCGTTGTTGGTGTAGGATCCGCCGAGAGAACTGCTTTCTTTCCCATAGACTTTTAAGTTGTCCAAGCCCGTTGGAGCTTCGGTTGGTCTAGTCGAATCTTCGATGTCGTTCTGGACGTCTGTTATCGTTTGTTTGGCTCCAAGAACATTTTCGACCGGACTAAACTTGCTGGAATGATCCTTAGAACCACTGCTACTGTCATGTTCATTGATTGGCCTTCGTGTCTCTTGGAATTTTGGATCATCTAAGAGCGCTGGTATTTGAATCTGTGTGTTTGAATTAACAATTTCGGTGTGGGTGTCTGGCATAAATTGTTTAGCTTCAAAAACAGTTTTAGCAAGGCTAGACTTTTTAGTATCAAATGGCCATGTGTTTAGTTTGGTTTGAAGTTCAAAATTCTGTAAAAGGGTTGTGCTTGAGGTCCTTGGAATACGAGGTCCTGAATACGTGCAAATACCGTCTCGGTGTTGATCAGAAATCGATTTGCCAAACCTTTGTTTACCCAGATCACCACCGCCAACTTGTTCGCCTTTACTTCCTTCTCCTGTAAGGTAAGTATCTATCTCTGGAAGCCTAGACCGTGAAGCAGAATCATTGTTTTTCATGTAGATGCGCAGTGGTGTTTCGAAATCCCTTCCGGATCCAGAAGTGTTTTTACAAGAACTAGGCTTATCAGACCTGTTTTTAGCATTGCCGCTACCGTATACTTGCTCCGGTGGCTTGAGATCGTCCGTCCGAGGGGCATATTCATCCAAAACTGTAAACTGTGGATCAAAAATCTCGACTCCAGCGAAAAGAACCTGCTTTTTGGCTGCAGTGACATTATCTCTCGAAGCTCTGGACGGAACAATCGTACAACCGGAACCTTCGCCGATTTTCGCCCGAATATTGGTTTTGTCCATCCCACCTACGACAAGAACTAGAGACCTTCCCGAGATCGGACTATCCTGTGGTACAAGGAGCTTAAAAGGGGGCTAGTAACTAGCTTGGAGAGAGTTTATGTGTGTAACAATGTGCAGCACAGGAGAGAGTAGTACGGAAAGAGGTTGATGTACGGAGGGAAAACTAAGGGACGGTGGGGATTAGACTGTCTGCATGGACCGGTCATAAATGTAGGTGTACGTGTGGCGTGGTGGCGCTAGTTTCGACTACCACTAGTACACCTCAGGCCGTGTCAGTTGGGTTAATTTGGTGTGTGTTTTCGCCAATCCGGTATAACAAATATACCAAAAGTAGCTAAGCTTCACTAACTCCTGTTTAGTAGTTTACATATTGATTTATACACGAGATTGGTTAACTCGAGAGCAACAGAGCTCATCACTCAGTGGATATTTTCCAATAAGTGCATTTATTCGCATATAGAGCAATAACTGAGAGGACCGTGTACTTAGTACATTTTTTGGAATGTGATTCTTAGTTGATTCCATCGACTGCATACATGTACATGTATTATTACTGACATTATAAGATTTGATCTATACTGAAAATGTGACGTATAATAATATTTGGAATTGATTCCGTTATATGGGTTAACTCAAGCTTCATGCAGCATCCATGGTACCCACATACACCCTACGAAAATTCCCTCTAACCTAATTGATAATCTACCCGTAACCTTAAACGATAGCAACTAGGGTATTGTATCCCGCGAAGAGCCATTCTCGGTGGTGGATACATATATATAAGGACAAGATAAATGTATTCTTTTTATCCTTGATATCCTCTCGAAGGATATATAGACTGCCTCAGCTCATCAGAAATGTTGAAGAAGTTGAAGGATACGATCAAAGACATCGTAGGAAACCAATACGCCAGCCAGAATCAGCGAGTGATATATCATGACGACGATCAACAACGAACAATTTGTGAGTCGAAGCAATTCCTGCTATTAGTGACCACATGCAGGCTATTTAATTTCTATTTCATGAGTAAAATAACGTGCTAGTACGTGTTTGGGCGAGGGGGGCTGCCCTAACCCCATACTGTCAGATATCTGCATTGAGCCCAGGCAGTCATAGGCCCACACTGAAGGAACATCCATTCTTCCCTCTTGACTTCGTTCGTCACACTCTTTTCCCCATCTTCCTCATCCCACACACCCGTTCACATCATCTACCTCATCCCCACCCGTCTCTCCTTCATCCATATTCCGTTCTAATCCATTCTATTTCTGCTCCATCTCGGAAATGACACAAATGTCGAAAGGAAACAAGTACACGATTCCACGTCGTAGGATCTCCAATAATCGTTCAGCGTATACTGCCCCAGGAATTACCCCTACCCCACCAGGTAGAAATCCAGGCATCGTCTTCGTTCCAGCTGGTGCTAGTGCTGTTCAGACGTATCTTCAGCCAAGTGAAACAAGCACTCCCGTACAGGGTTCATCTGCTGCTAACAAAGACGTACCTAAAGCATCTATCAGAATGATTCTAAAGCGTTCGAATTCTCCTTCCTCCAAACCAGCGGAAATCTCTACACGCGGGTCATCAGGGGATATATTGCTACAGGATATTATGAAGGAGATGCATACTCACTCGCTGGAGCAGAATGAAACACCCCATGTGTCTCCGGATCTTTCGGTTCCATTGAACCATGACATTTCTTTTCATCCTTTTGAGTCCAAGCTCTGGGTCAATTTTTACAAGGCTCCGCCTCTACCAGCCGAAGATGAGAAGTGGCCAGATTTTAGAACCAGGAACAATGCTATGCTAAGTGAGTCCCCTATCAGTCTCCGAATTAGCTCTCTGTGCAAATATTAACATGTATGAAAATTCAAGATGCACCAATTCTAGCAAGGTCTGACATGTTACCTGATCAATTGTTCGAGCATATGAACCCAAAGGGTCCCACACATGCACCAGTCAAGGTCGAAACCCAAGTAAAGCATGCTGCACCCGTCAGATCGTTTAGAATGCAGCCGCTTGTAAACCCACTACTGCAAAAGCCTTCCCGTGTGTCACCAAAAAAGTCCAGCGAAGTGCGGGGTAGTGCCCAAGCTTGGAAACCCCCACCAGCGTTTGTCCCAGGCGTACCATTCCAGGCAGTCACCACCAATCCTACGACAACCCAGGAAAAGCTTTCTACTCCTCAACTCGGCAGAGAAGTTGGAAATAGCACAGCAGGCTCCATACATATCGCTGATATCGATCCAGCTATATGGCGTGCAAAGTCTTCTTCTACTCAGGCAGCTCCCATGGAGCCTTACCCTGAGAGCCACTCCAATCCACCAGCTCCAAAGCATTCTAGGAGCGGTGTGAGAAACCGGCCCGCGGCAACCCCAGATGTTTCTGTACCGATGCGAGGTATCCCATCAATGCCGATGATGGGGCCTGACGATCAAAACTTCCAGATTGAGCCGCGCGTCTCCGCGAACCCCAACTGGACGTCGGGTTACTATCCACCACTTTTCCAGCAGCAAGGGGTGGTGAGAAATAGCCCTGAACAATACTTGCATCCCGCCAATCTAATTGGTTCATCCCCAAATACATCAAGAAACAGATCAGCCTCCAATGCCGCTCCAGTCCTCCTCACCTCTACTCGTGGCGTCTACATTCGAGGTTTGCCAGCCAATATCACTCGAAGCCAGCTCTGTGCCAATATTCGAGGTGGTGCTATCGAACGCTTCACCCTCCTCACTGTAGACGATAAGCTTGACGCTGCAGTCTTCTTCATTACGACTGAAGCTGCTAAGGCTTACAAGCAGTTTACCAATGGCGTCGGGGGAATTTGGTGGAACCCCAAGGACCATCACAACTCCTTTCCTTCTTTCACTGCATTTATCGGCCCTGAATGCTGCGGCTACGACAGGCTCTCCGACTCTGTCAGAAAGGCAGTGGATAACGAAAACGCAACCAGATGCGTTGTTGCTTTTGGGATCCCTGAGATTTTGAGCATCGAGGGCATCATCCAACGTTTGCAAAGAGCTATCCATCCACACAAGGTCGAGATCGAATCGTTCACCGATACCACGGCTGTGGTTGGACCTGGTGGGCCCGAGCATAAGAGGATGACGATTATCAGGTTCACAAGCATCACGATGGCCTTGAGGGCAAGGAGGTACTTTAAGGAGACGTCTATGTTCCAAGGCATGACAGTGCATTTTGCCCCAGATGAGTGTGCTGGGCCATTGAGCGAACTCTCCGTGAAGTGGAACAAGGAGCTCCATACGTCAAACTTGATGCGTCCATCAAGACGCAACTTACACGGAGAATTCGCTGTTGGGATGAACGAGCTGGCTAGTCGGATGGATGGAGCCGGAGGAAGAAAAAAAAGAGCCTAAGCAATCCTTTGCTTATCCTTCACTTTTCAACGAGCCTTATTCCCTGCTCTTGATAGTTAGAGCTATTGTATTCCTATGATTAAAAGGTTATTGTTTTCATTTACTTTTATCCGTTGTTTTTCACAATAACTAAGGTTCAAATTTTCTCTAATTTCTTCATATTCTTACTTCCTCGTTTGATCTTACTTGCTCGTTTGATTTGGGCTTGTTCTAATTGTTTTACTAATCTTCTTCATCTCTTCTCCTCTTCTTAGGCCTTCTTACAGCTGGCCCGTTTCTCTTATCTCTATGGCTTCCTTTAAACTTTCCCTACCTTTTTTTTTGCTACTTTTTCCACCAGGTCCTCAAGTTTCTCATTTTTAACTATAATGTCATCTTTTCGTCTTCTTGAGTTTCGACCCAGCATTTACTAAAAGTCTTTCAAACTATATTAGCGAGCGTATATATATTTTTTTCTTTTTTTGTTAGGTAACTAGGACTGATATTGAAGGAGAGTGGGACGATGACGAGTGTAAATGTTAATGGCATAATGTTCATAGAGCGGGATGGAAAATGATATCAATTATGTCTCTAAGATTCCGAAGAAAATACGCAATTTTACTAGGGGAGCTCAGCAGAGCACCGGAAAAGGACCGGAAAAGGCATCGTAACTATATTCATACTCCAGATAATTCTTAAGTGCTACGCACATATCATGATCAAAGAACGATGTATAATCTAGCAATCATAATTCATCGAGTTACTCTACAATTCAAACAAACGCCAGCTCAACTTCATATTTGATTCGATTTGATATCCTGATCTCTAGGCCTTCCAGCTACATTATGATATATCATCAGTTAAGGAATGAAGTAATTCAGTGCAACGAAGCCAGCAATAACTTTCCGAGTAAAGCCGAACATTAACCACCGAAAGCATCCAATACTTTCCAGCTTTTGAACATAGATTACTGAACGAAGACTCTAGTACGATAGTAAGGAATGCTTGTACCTATAGTCACAATTGGGCGAGTCATAGATACAAACTTAGACATTACAATAATCATACTACCATGATCTCTTTACTAAATAGAATTTCCCTTGAACATAATGTGCTTTTCTCCTGTGCTCTTATTGCTTGGATGCCTTGAGCCGACTTAGTTTGAGAAGGCTGCATGGTGCCTCGGCGCATCCGTCTCGATAGGAGGTGACTTTCCGTCTGCCTCATAGTGAGGCGAGCCACATGGGGCGCGCACGGGAGCCTCGGATATTTAGCAACGCTCCACTGCAGTTCGAAGGTGAATAGACCCGTATATCTTTCCGGCTGTGTGCATGATTATAACGAAAGCTCATGACTCTCCGTGTACACCGAGTAGCGTTACACCATTCTCCCCTCATGCTCAGTGACATGCTTCTTGCAACCCAACTAGTGAGGAGGGTCTATTATAATGCTCTGAAGCGCGTTCTTTCATTGATCGCCGGTGCTAATGACTTCTCATTTCGTTTATAGGATAGAGGTCTGTGTAGCATTGCGCCAAGATAATGTGCACTTAAATACGTTTTTAAGGCCGTTTTCAAGGGATTATTGCAAAAAAGCAATTAAGCATAGATTCATGCGCGAGTGACAGTGTGTGACCAGGACACATGTTACCCGGCTTGAACCACACATCAACTGCAAATGCAATCTCATAATTTTATTGAAACGTGCACTGGCTTCTTTCCATCGAAGATATGTTTGCCAGATTCAGTTCGTCGAGTATATGTGTCCTATACCAGACTGTAGCCAAAGCTGATAATCGTATTAACATACAGCGCTATAAACCACATATACACACAATGGATCCGGATGCTTACATGAAATGATAAAGCAATTCAACCTTTCACAGCTCAAGAAACGCTAAGCGTCATACGTGTATCCCCTAGAGGGCATACAGTATATTTTTCCTGTCCCTAACCATGAGGGCCCTGGCATCCCTGTAACGCCAGTTAGTCTTAACTCTTCCCGCCAGAGATGCACACAGTGCTAGTACTACCACCTGCCACCAGGTAAACACGTACAAGCAGGTGAACACCCAAATTTCAAGCAATTATCCTCCCAACCTCAAAATCAAACCCAACTATTTCCATCTACTCACAAAACGCTCATCAAGATGTGCACTGTCACACCCACCATCTATACCTGCGGTAAGTCCTTCCTTCTCAAGATCCCACCGAGAAGCCTCCAACTAACACATATTCCTAGGATACCAGAGAAAAAAGTTCTTGCCCTGTTATGCGTGGATAAATGTGTATGGACTGCTAGGTGTGAAATGTCCTTACCATTGCATCGAAGGTACCATATTGGATGACGAGTCATGCTTGAGTAAGTTATATATAGTCCTACTAGCAACGAACTTGAATGGCGGCGCTGACGTGTAGGTATAGGATCTTCCTGTGTATGGCTTTCGGATCGGAAGAGGTGCATGAACCATTTTGCCAGTTGAGGAGGTCGAACGCTTCTGTGGTTCACTGCGCGACAGGTCCTAGATTTTTATGATGGAGATAATAAAGATCGTGGTCTTTTCCCTCTAGCGTTAGTTCTATTTTGATGAAATGATGAGCTCACCAGATTATTAAATATTATGTTATCGAACTAGAGCTATTCATCAGATATAGGTATCTACTTTGAGAAAAATGCTAGCACGTTGAAGGAACAAGCAGTGCTCAGCCGCTGTATCTCCTCATTCAACTTTTGAATGTTTCGCAGGCCAGTGGATTACCCATTAACACCCTCTCGTTATATGAAGGTCGGATTCTAGTAATTATTCTTAGCCTAAACACCAACCGTGGTAAGTGGTCTGCATAGAGCCTTAAAGCATTGAGAAACGGTTCTGCCCTGTTCATAAAGATGAGAATTCTCTGTATCTTTGACAAGTGATAGTTGATGTATGAAGCTCTGTTGGTTTCTCCGTAGACTTAACTTCTCTTCATGGTCTTTGTTTTGGATAGTGAATTTAATGGGTTTCTCATAGTCTCGTACCCAGCCCGTTACTTGCAGCCCTGCAGCTGGAAGCATGGAAGTAGACGGGTTGGGGACGAGCCTAGGTTTTTCATTGTTCAGACCCAACTCGACCCATTCTGAACATGTTACTACAATCTGTACTCTCAATTTCCGCCTGTTAGTTTTTTTCTAGAATAGATGTAGCTATATGTGTTCTGTGCTGGGTTCAGGGTGTGCAAGAGCTATTCGACAGAGGTTTTCAATTGTGTCCCTCTGTATGACACTTGTTAGCAATTAATTAATACCCTTGCGTGCCAAAAGATGAGCTGGCAACACCCAGAACGTGAGTAGGTAAAGATGATTTGTGGATTTTTCTGAGCATTGTAAGCGACAAAGAGGTTGACTTGAGCCCAGGTGGCTGCTAGGCAGTGCAGACTGCGGCCCTTGGCGCTAGTGAAGACTGTGGACCTTGGCCTGTCTTATTGAGGTAAGACCGAATGGGATGGAGATACATAAATCTTACACAGGAAGATGTATTACAATTAATTTATTGCAATTAAAATTTCTCACTCTTTTACTTTATCTACTTATGGTGCGCCCACGCTTAAAGGTAGCGGATCGCGACGAAATGACAATGGCTTATAACTTTGTGACGAAAAATCGTAAAAAAAAAGCGTAATGATAGAACTCTAGTACTAGTGATGAAATTTAGTTCTATGTTTGCAGAATTTTAATATCTGTCTGGGTTGTAAAGCCTTAGGAAGTTGAAATTGTGTATCTTTGTATGTAAAATGCGCCAAGACTGAACAAGTGGAACAGCATTATACCCATTTATACCCCCAGAAAAGCAAACCTGACTGATCCGTGGCAGTAATGCAGCAGAATGGCTAGAAATGGGCCCTCTTATTGGCCCATGAGGCCCTATTGCAGCCACAATTGTTCCACTTCCGTATGCCACATATCACCTTTAAGAGTGTGCGCACCATACATATTACACCCCGCAGCAAAACGACTAGAACTGTTGCTTATAGAGTGGCTACTGGAGTGGATGATAAAGATATCTTCCCGCCCATTGATTGTAGATAAGATCTAGAGAAATAAAGAGATCTATGAGTCAAGGTCACTCTGTCTCGGCGTCTGCTTTAAGGGTGGGCGGCATTTTTTCATTTGTCTCGCTCATGTAGGCCTGTGATTGTGATCCCGACAGCTCGAGTATAGGTACCCGGGCCCTTTGTATGTACCTACATGTATGTGTACCTACATGTACAGCAATAGGTAATAAGTGATGGAACGCCCTGAGAGTACAAACACTTAATATTAGTGGCGTTTACCAAACAGGTATCGAATCGCTGTGCTCAATCACTTATTACCTACCCTGTACATAATGGTATCGAATTAATTAACATGGACTCTTAATACGCCAGATAATACGGAACACTATGTGTACTCCCTACCCCCAACTTAAGATATAACAAATATCTGTCCCGATTCAATTTATGGCCCTTTGGGTTTCATTCCCCTAACGTGCTGTTACTTCAAATTGTGAGATTTTTAATTAAACAACGTACACTCCATTTCATCGCTAGACCGCTGCAATCGTTCAGCCTATTCTACACATTCTCGACCATAGATAAACCAAAGGCCAACGTCCCCTGATGGCCCCAAAGCTTTCGTTTTGTAAGATTGTCCCTAGGTCCCTAGGTTCAACGCAAAAAAAACGAGGACAAACCAATATTGTACATGGCCAAATGGCAAGAAGAATTAACGCTGTAGAAGATCAAACTAGCTAGAAGTTAATTCTATTTTCTCCAATATCTCCTAAGCTTTAAACACTCACCTTAAAACCAACCGTACATAAAATCTCCTTGAGCCCACCCATTATACGCTTGATCTTCAAACCATGGACGCATTGCTGGTTCGTTAATGTCGACAGAGCCGGGTAGAATGATATCTAGATCTGTGGACACTGATGTTTCATCCCTTGAACTCTCCAACATCGCCACAATGGTAGTAACGAAGTTGTTCCGCTGGTTTAAAAGAGGTGACCTGTTAAGACGAACCCGCCTGTTCTTCAGGTCCTCCAAGAGGGAGGTATCCCCCATAAGGGAGTGTATCAAGGCTGTATGGTTATACCTACACGCAAGGTGCAAGATATTCTTATCATTGCGCATCTCTTCGTGGCCAACGATCCAAAGAAGGATCTCATACCGCTAGTCTAGGGTAACTTTCGAGCTAGAATTCCCACCTGCAATTTTCTCACGCATGTAGCGAAGTACAGCCTCATCACAGGCGCTTCGACCCCAGATATTGCGCGTGGTGAAGAGGGAATGGGATGGATAGTTGGTTAATATTTTAATCATGTCCAGTCGTCCTTCATGGATTGCTACATGAAGCGGGGTCCGCCCCCGGATGTCCAGGTCTGTTATCCAAGCCCCCGCTTCTAAAGCGCGCTCGAATTGCTGCATATCACCTCCCATGATAGCATAGTGGAGGATTCCACCCCATTCCTGGGCACGTCCTCCGGCGAAAAGCTTAATTTTGAAAGGGTTCCGGAGAATTTCATTAAGAATTTCTTTGGCGGGATTGGACGGGTTTAGAAAAACGCAAAAGTCTTGGGCCGCGTAATGCTCTGCAAGAAAGTTTGTGACCACCCAAGCGGTTTCGGATCCCTCCATGATGACCCTACGTAATAGCTCCTCATCCTTGGCAAGAGCTGCCTGATAAACCTTGTTGATCAGCTTTATGTGATTAACATCCGTCTCGAACTGTTGGACTATATATTAGATTCCGAGTCACAATGCAACAAATTTAAAGGAAGGACTTCGAAGATTAATTGCCCACCTCTATAACACTTGGACGCTTTTTTTCGGCACCTCCTAGACTATCTAAGAAGTACCGGCTGGAGCTGTCTCCGAATAACCTCACCCTCCAGCATAAACGACAGCTACAATCTGCATTAACAATCAACCCTCCAGGGTTGACTGGGTTGTCTGACAGGCTATTCTCAGCGCCGAAACCGATTCCTTCCGACCCTATCATTATGAGAGCGGTATGTCTACCGCGCAAACTGTTAATAAATTTAATCATTTACGTCCTTAGTCACGATTTAAGGTTACGAGACTCGGATCTAGTTATTAGAATCATATTGGCCCTCGGTCAAGAAATGAAGTCATTACCAGATTTAATACATACAGTTTTGACGTGAAATACTAATATAATTAACAGTGCGCTGAGAAGAAAGAAGCCTTCTGACAAGGAAAAAAGACTCCTGCGGACGAAAAAAAAAAACGAATAAAGATTAGTCAAACAAAAACATAAACAAGGGAACATATCCTGAGACCAATGACCTCGAGATGGTTGAGGGTCTTTACAAAGTATGAGTATCTTACGATGATTAAAGAGCTCAGAAAGGCAGCTCTTCTCGGACAGAAGTAGGAGAAACGGACCCTCACTCGCCAACGAGCCAAAATATTGAAGCACGCCTAACTCGAGATGCTCTTTCTTGGCAGAAAGTATCCCTACAGCTGCAGAAATAGATCTTTTACAAGTCTAGAAGGAAAGAACATTCCAGGTCAACCATTGATCAAGAGAAACATGTGGGCCCAGAGTGACAATTTACGTTTTGGTACCAGAGAAAGTTACGTTCTAAGACTGGCTGACAACTATTCGTTGCAAAAGGACCTTAAATAAAGGCCTCTGTTGAGAAATCAATATTTAAGCGTACGAGGCCTATCATGAAACGTTAGTCAAGGTCAAGCTTACATTTTCTTGGACTTAATTTCTCAACTCACTTGAGGGAAATGGAAACACAGAGTTTGAAGGGGAAATCAGGGCGGGGTAGAGAAGTAGGTCGGGCGTGGGTTCGAACGCTTCGATGAGAGGGAGAGTATTTTGTTAATTGCGGTGTATCGGTGACCTCGTACCCAGTCTAGTATTTTGTGGTTTCTGTGCCAAGACTTTCTGGGGATGGGATCGAGCTCAGTGTATCGGGACTTTTCAAACGAAATTTCGGGGAACGGTTTAATTGTGTGGTTCATATGTTTGTGGGGTTGGGCAAGTACGACTAATCAATATTTGTGACGCTGAAACGGAATAGGGCTTGAACCACGATGGGTTCTGCAAGTAATGACACTTTTTCTTTAAGAGCCTCGACGACATAAGCAACTCTAGGTCTCTCACCCTTCCATTTCCTATCAGAGAAATATCTGGACTTTGAGAAATACACTTTTGGAAAATCTTTGATACAGTCAATTTTTTACGAAAATTATTATTAAAGCTTCTTTTAGCGGTAAATTCTAGCGTGGAATCACAGTTTTAGGAATCGAATCCTCGGGCCTTATACACTGTAGTTATGATAAAATTTACGCAGTTTTCGTCGCATGAGAAAACTCACACTTGGCCGGTTAATTTTTCTCTCTTGGTATACGTTCAAATGCTGGAAAATTTCAAGAGCTAGTCTAGAAACAAGTTTACTCCTCCTTAGAAAGACTGAGGGGCGCCACATCAAAGAAGAATCGCTAGTTTATAGCAGCACCTCTCATCAGCTACCAGCGATCGACAGGCTAATGGAGTTAACACCGCGACGCATACGTGGCGGGTAGTAAGTGCTGCGTCGGAACCACCCAAAAGTGGCCATACCCCTCTATATTTTGGTGAGAATCTTAAAACACCGGCGTTATGGTTCCTGTGCACCGTGCATATGGACAGGGATAATGGTCGCGAGTGCGACATAGTGGATCACTCGAGCTATGAGTGTTGCAACCATAGGGCTACGCAGCGGATTGGTGCATCATGAAACCTCTAGCGCGAGGTTTGGAAATGGAAGGTTAGGCTAGAAGATCCGATCCGCTAAGTGGCGTGCTTTTTGACGAACTAGACGAGGGTGAAGGGGGCCAGTTAAGAGGATTAAGACGTTAATATTGCAGAATGTCAGTACTAAATTCAACCATTCCTAATTCTCACCTTATCGAAATATGTCAAGGTTAGTGGGTGGTCAGTTTTCCCACAACGTAGTGAAGGACCCGTCTCGAGGGAGGCCTGGTTAGGTTGGGTGAGTGCCTTTCTGCCCCGGAATGCAATCCCGTGCCCTCCCGCTAAGCGAAAAAAAAAAAGGCTTCATATTTTTTTCTTCTGCTCCTATCTCTTTCACGGTGATCAAATTAAAAGAAATTGAAAAGATTGAAAAGAATGCAGACTAGTGTCCTTCCATATTTGGCTTCGTTCAATGTCGGGTACTCCTACAAACATAGTTCTTATCACCAATAAATAAATATAACCCCAGATGAAGGAGCAAAATTCGCACCTCCACACGCACTAAACACCCGGTCGCGAGTAACCAACATTGCTCCGGCAATACAAAAACTGTGAGAATCGAGTGATATTTCATGATCTGACCTGCACAACCCACTACGGCCACAACTACCACCAGAACCTACTGAGAGCCCACCCTGCGGGCTCCAATAATATCAGCACCCACCAACCACAATACAACAGCCAGGACCACCAATCAACTCAGACAATCAAGCGAATACAACACTACCTGCAGAGCTCATCTAGGACCGCGCGAGCTGCGCATCCTACGATACTTCATGGCCTCGGGCCAGGCGGACTACATCCTATTGGGCCAATCGACAACCGGACCATACAATCGCCTTTTACATGTTGATAATGAGTTAAGGATGTCTAGATGACTGACTCTCTCGCATTTTGGCATTTAGCTCATAGATGGGACTTTATTGCTTGCCTCGGGGCGAGGAAATTCAGATGGGTTGACTATCAAGACCAGCAGTATCTCCCCGTACCATAATAAGGATGGAATAAAAGGTGCATCAAACTGGAACCCAGATCCCGATAAGGCATTCACTCATACCCGCGGCGCGATAGCGACACTAGCTAGCCTCAGACCTGCCTGCGTGCTCTGGGCGCGAGAGGGTTCGAAGGAGGGGTAAATAGTTGGTGCCAGAGGTGGATGTACCGCCGGGGATAGAGGAGATGTTAGCGACAGTGGGAGTCGGGCCTCTGATCGTGAAGATTATGGGTGCTTCGTCTGCTGGCTGTATTTCTGATCCTCTTCTTCGATCTCGTGAGTCGATGTGGGCTTGAAGAGCATATTCATGAGTTCTGCGCTATATTCATCATGCCAATGGTTGGAATAAATCTATCCAGGAGAGATATAGTAATAGCATTTAGCTATATTGAGGCAGGTGGAATAAGGGGCTTTATTAATACTCCTCGCTGGAGATATCGATTCTCGCTATTACGTCGAGGCGCAGGGGATGTTCTAATATAAAACGAGGTCCCCTCACTAATTTTCCGGGTTGACGATCGTGATCGACACGGTAGGCGCTCTGCAAGATGCAATACCAAAGCCATTATGCAGACCTCCTCGGGTTCCTGCAGCATGCAATAGGTAGTCAAGGGCTGACAAAGGGGTTTGGAAACTTGAAGCGAGGGGAAAGATGGGTTGATGGTGTTTCTATCTACTGCAAGCAGCTCCACGCCGAATTCTCAACGACACTCATCTACCCGGAGATCATGGTCATATATCAGATGGGATGAACACCCGTGCACAATGGATATAGTTGGGATCTCTGGTAATGATTCAGTTCAGATCTATTGTTGAGATGTCCGTGCAGCCGTTGTCTTGAAATTATGATGAGGAGGCCTGGGATAATTAGAGGGGTGAGGTTGAAATTGAGGGTTTGTTTGGCGCTACGTTAGTGGCCGTAGGGCTAGGGATAAAACATCTCTTCTATCGAACGTTCTATCGACCCCTGTATCAATGCTTAACATTGGCGAGGGTATGGTGGGAATCCGGGGAACTATTCGGCAGCTAAGCCAACTAGATGGTTACTTTACGGGTATTTTAGACATGTGTCTGCTGGTGATCTCAGATCGTCTGGAGTAGAGTGCCTCCAGAGAACCGAATGTTGTTTGCAGACGCAGTCAAACTGGATTTACCCAGGTCCTGGGTGAAGGAGGAAGACGAATGGAACGGACACAAGGGGCCAACGTGGTATGTACATGACAAGGGAATGATGAGAGTATTGGGTTAGTATTCATTTATTCAGTCGGAGATCCACGCGTATAACCGAGCCACGATCGCCATCATCTCGGAGTGATGAGAATCCTTCTCTCTCTCGACATCTCCACATCTCCTCTGCCCTATCATCACCGGTTGTCGACAAACATCCAATTCACCTCCCCATCCATCATCTGTTCATCGTTGTCACTATACTCACTTTTGAAAACTTTTGTTCAGGGTTAGGGTCGCTCGCAGTAATTGATACGTCACGTTCTGTTGAGCCGCAACACCACCACCACCACTCCAAGTCGAAGACTCGATCACGAGTTCGCCGGGTCCACGGGTTCGCGTCTCTCAAACTACGACCTTCTACTAAGCTCATCCACCAACCATCTACCCTCCATAATGAGCACAGTACGTCTCCTCCGAATCCCTCTCCACCGGAGCAACCCCCCCAACTGATCACTTCCTGCTAGACAAAAGGGACACTATACCTCCAGCGCCTTGAGCAGGCGCGGTGCAACGGCCAGTGGGATGAAATCCCCGAACTTGCCAGAAAGGTTCAAAAACATGCACCCGGCCGAAAATGTACCTCCTCACGCCCCTCCCTCCCTCCCGTCTTCTGGGAAAACAGAAACTGATTCAGAACGCCAGGCCTTGCCTTGACAGCAGCTACGGAAGCAAAGATCCATCAGCTACTTCCCCCACCATTACCTCATGAGTCACCGTCAACAATCGTCTCTTATATCGTTTCTTTGGACGCACTGCAGGATACGCTGCAGCAGGAGCTGAACCGAACTCCGGAAGCGGCAATAAGGTTGCCATCGCCAGCGGGAGGTGGGCCTAGCTCGGTCGCGACGGCGGATGATATAGTGGAAGCAAGGGTGACGGTTGCCTGGGCCTGTATGTTGAAGGGGGAATGGGAAGATGTGATTAGGGTTATTCCGGGGGCCCGGGAAGTGTCGGAGGAGTTTGTGGGCGTGGGGAAGGTGAAGGATGGGTACATTGAGATTGC